TAGTAAATCTATGCTCCAAAAAGACTAACACTTTTGAGTCTAACCAATACGCTTCCAGCCATAGACTGATTAGCTATCAAATAAGTAATATAGGATCACAGACCAAGAAGAAGATATGTATAGGATGAAAATAGGTTAAAGAGCGAAGTTGGTCGAATTAAATAAGAAACAAGATTTTTAACTACAATAGTGTACTTATTCGGATAGCGAATGAGAATTCTACTGCATAGTCTGATAAAAATGGTTTTTAGATTTACATTTTAAAGACATGCCACCTAAGGAGTTCAAGCAAACTGAACCAAGGAAAAGTATTCTAGTTGTTCCTAGTCGAATTGTTAGCAGACCAGATGAATTGGAAGGTGGAGAAGAAACTGAAATAGCAGCCCAGATATCAGTTCCACAAGAAGGCGGTTGGGGTTGGGTGGTTGTTATAGCCTCTTTCTGGTGCGCTACGGTATTGGATGGAGTCGTTTACACATTTGGTGCTTTACTTGGTGACATGACTAACCAACTTGGTGTGTCTGAGTCTTTAGTTTTATTAATTAATTCAGTAGCAATGGCGTTATATTATTGTTGTGGACCCTTAGCTTCAGCCTTTATAAATCGATTCGGGTTCAGAGCTTGCGCTATGTCTGGATCAGTTATCTGTTCATTTTCATTATTTTTTTGTTATTTTATCACTAATTATGTCATGATAATAATTTTTTATGGTGTTTTGGCTGGATTTGGATATTGTCTTATCAATATGTCATCTGCATTAGTAGTAGGATTTTATTTTGAAAAACTGCGTTCTCTTGCTCTTTCTTTAGCAACTTCAGGATCTAGCGCAGGTATTGCGGGTTTGTTTCCAATTAATACTTTCTTGGTTGGTTTATCAGGTTGGCAACCTACAACTCTGCTGCATTCTGGAATGTTTGGTACAATTTTTTTTGTTAGTATGGCATATCGCCCTTTACTATCTCTAACTGTTATAAAAACTACTGACGATCCTACGCGTACTGTAACCTATTTGCCAAATTTGTCGAAGGCAGCTGTTCAATCAGCACCGTCTAGAGCAAAAACGGAAGGTCTGAAACCATCTGCTGCAGAACGTTTATTTAGTGCCGTCTCAAATGCAAATTTTCCAACTGCTGCAGCTGTAGTTGAAGACGAGTTGTCAACACCTGGTACTCAACCCGGGCCATCAACTGCTGCTGTGTCGAAACTCACTCTTACTGCACACAATACTCAAGGAGTCAGTCGCCGTCATTTAAAACAAGTACAATCTCTGATGTCAAGGACAAGTGTACAAGACAAAACTAAAAAGAATATTGAAGTTGTCATAAATATAGAAGAACCTCCTAAGAAACGGAGTTGCTGGGCACGTCTATGCCATTGGGAGGACCACGTACCACAATCACGACCTATGTATAGAGATGATGCCTTTTATGATGGAAAAGTGGACAAGTTACCAATTTATCAGAAAAGTATGATGGACACCAGTGCTGAAGCAAAAACTGGACTTGAATATCAATTGGCAGTTTCACGAGCTGTAACAGCCGGGGATTTACATGAACATAGAGGTGTATTTACTACAGCAGCACGAAGAGTATTAGCAACTATGATGGATCCAGCATTATTAAAAAGGCCTTCTTTTTTAATATTATCCTTAACTGGGTTTTTGATTGCTTGTGGATTTATGGTTCCATATGTTTATACACAGGAACGAAGTATAAACGCTGGCATAGATGAAAATCATGCTACACTATTAGTATCAGTTCTGGCAATTTCAAATGCCGTAGGAAGACTGGTAATTGGAACGTTAGCTTCTAAGATAGACCCTTTAAAACTTTATACGCTCGCATGCTTCGTTGGAGGACTCAGTTCAATACTATCAAATTTTTCCTATAATCTGTATTTTCAATATGGATATGTCGCTGTGTATGGTTTTTTTTCTATAAATTTGACTTCTCTTAGAAGCATGGTAATAGTATCAATGTTTGGACTGGATAAATTAACAAGTGCGACTGGAACCTTGTTATTATTCTTTGGATGTGGAAGTTTAATAAGTACACCGTTGGCTGGTTTTCTAAAATCACAATATGGTAGTTCGATGGCATTTAATGCAGCTGGTGTGTTTTTACTAGGAAGTGGTTTATTATCGTTATCAATTTATAGCCTCTTAAAGAAAGAAAGAGCTAAAGAAAGATCTTCTAATAGATCTACAAAGAAAACACTCGGACAGTAGAAAGTATCTGCTGCATTAAGCAAATATTACTCAATAGACTAAGATAGAGGGAGGCGAGGTGCGATCACCAAGATGAAAATTCTGAACAAACTTAATTTATTGCGTTTGATTCAACTAAGAAGACTTAAATCATGTTGCATATTCCAAAATACTGCGAACTAATGACAATAAATATTGTAAAATTTACTATTTATTGATTTTCTTTCCTAGGACCTTATCATGCCAACCAGCCTATTAATATCCCCGCTGCTGGGGCTCATGCCTGGAATTGGATCAAATCTATTAGGGAGAATGGACCATGTCTCACCAAGCTGGCCCAATGTGGATTAGTGGGTGTAAACGAATATAGATGCAGCCGGGACCAACGGCTTAAAGTACTTTTCAATGGGTGGGAGCCTCGAGATAATATTTTTTTTTAATTAAAATTCCTCTTATTTACAACATCAAAAAATCAAATAGTTTACCGCTAAAAAAGCTTTCATCTCCTCTCTTGCAAACATATAAGTTTACAAAGCTTAATAACATTTCCCTAAATAATGATTTCATCCTACTCTCGTTAATAGGCTAGTTGATAACTCTTTTTTATTTTATAAATATTTTATAAATAAATATATAATCAAATATATCTCGTGTTGAAACCAAGGGAAAGGAAGTTGTTCCTGGATGGGGAAAATGGAGAGGACAGTCGAGTTTATAGAAAGAAAGTATGCAGAAGAAAGGAAATAGGGAAGGGGGATAGTATGAAATAGATACAATCGGTAAGCCGATGGCACGTGCGGCTATTCACACAGTGCAACATGTATCTAAGTGTCATGTGGTCAATTTAATAAATATAAATCTCAAAGCCGGGTAAATAGAAATTCGGTTTGGTTTAAGATTTGTTCGTACATTAAAAAATGAAATCTAATATACGCACACACTGTTAAATATAGAGATCTGATGGATCAGGATATTATTATATAGTTTCGAATATGAGCATTGTCTTGATTTCAAAACTTTAAAAATGTGTTTGAAATTTGGATGATTTATTTATTTTTGTCTTATATAAGCTTGCATTGTTGGAATATCTTCCAATATATTATTACTAATCCAATAATTAACCCAATACTCTAAGTATTTCATTCATACTTTCTAAGTTTTAATTAAGGAGTTTGACAAGCACTTAATTAATAAATATATTAGATTTCATAAGTTTGTAGTGTCGTTTTCGAAAGTAGTTTAGTTGCATTTTTAAGAGTCACTAGTTTTTGTTATTTATTATATTCTTCTATTAGTCATAAATACTAATTAAGTATCTGAAGCCGATTATTTGTTTAATGGCATTTGGGGCAATTTCTAAACCAGAATTACTATAAAATTATGACGTTTCTATTATAACTAATGCGCATACTATCTAACGGGATCTGAATTTGAAGTATTTAATTAAGGGGAGGGGGTAGATCACTTTTTCATTGCATTCTACTCCTTAATTTTTGGGTAAATTAGAAATGGGTCTCTCTCTAATTGTAAAAGAAAAAATATTTAGTGTCGTGTATTACTTAAAATTATATCACTTAAATTGAAAATCGGAAATACTCTACCATAACCCGTAAATGGGTCACTTTGGGTCGGTGAGTGACTGAAAGTAATTAACAGCCTCCTGTAAAATTAAAATAGTTATAACATTATAATAGTATAATAAACTTAAAATAGTATTTCAATTCAGCTTCACAGGTCATAATAATTTACGAGTCCACTATGACCCACTTTGAAATTATTAATTGTAAATGTTGATCGAAAAAGAAAAATCTATCTATTTTAAGGACAAAATTACACTCCTTATGCGGGACTTAGAATATACAATCTAGCTAGTTACCCTGCGTATCACAAATAAAAAAAATCCAAATTCGGATATCATGTAGAAGATTAGTACATAGGGAGAGGGATATTGATGAGTGGCGGCTAGCATTTTTTATGCGAAGAGTAAACGTATGTAGTTATAGAGAATTATCCACTGTACCTCTTGATTCACCGTTACCCACCCTCCCTAAACACAGATTACTGAATGTCAAGTAGATAGCTAGCTAACTTTCATCTTACTTTCATGAAAACTATATTTCAAAATGTAACATCTTTTGATTATTTCAGCATTCTTAATGCATTATCTATGCGTAATATAAATCTACCGACTGTGTTTAAGATTAAGAAACAACAGAATACCTTCTTTGTCAAATGATTTAAACATTTTAAGTATTTATTTTGATAACCATCAAGTATTAGTTTCATACACTTTAGTAAACAACATGTGGTATTTATACGACCTATGCAATGTAGCCAGTTCTTTAATTGGGCATTAGTCACAGTCGTATGTAGGTACTTAATTAACCATAATTATCGGACACGGCTTAAAACGAAACCCTCCATTCAGGCATAGTCCATTGCATACTTGGCCTGTGTATTGCACTGTGCTCCTTGCATTTCTTATCGAGAAAAAATAAAAACGGATTTGGCAATAATCTGGAGAATTTTTCATAGTGAGTTTTGATTTGTACGACAAAGTATCGTGAAAGTCAATAGTCAAATAATACTGATGAATGGGTTATAAAGAGAAAAAGTGTTTCAAAATTCAGCACAGGACGTGAACCGTTCGTCTTTTAACGAGGACTTCTTTTTCTTCCTGTATTAAGTAAGTAATTTAGACACGACTAGGCAGTAAGGGCTTATCCCTTGGCTTTATTGTTTTAAAAAAAAGCAATAAGAATGCGCGCGTGAAAAAACGTCAGTGTGCGAGATTGTCAAACAAGCTAAAGTGAAGAAGTAATTAAGACTTTAATTCTCGGTTTTGGAGGGGACGGAACTTTTGGGACTCTGTATATCTGTATAAAGTCAGATTTTAATCTAACAATTTATTGCAGAATTAATAAAAAAAACTACAATGTCACAAACAACAATCACTTCATACTTCAATAGTAGAAAACGACCTGCAACTGAAGATATTGTAAGTTCCAAAAGCAAAATAGCTCATATCGACGATGCATCATTAAAAAATAAAAGGATATTTCGTAAAGGTTCAAATATCCACGAAGAACTAAGCTCAAAATCATATGAAGTCAACGAAGATCCAAAAAAAACTGAGAATGAAAGTCTATTGACGCCAGTAGGATCCGAGGTACAAGAAAAAAATGGAGCTGCTTTTGCAAGAAAAAATAATGCTGCCAATTCACGAAATCAAGAAAGCGAACCCACCAAATCGGAATCCTTTAATTCGTTAAATTCTGCTCGTAAAGAGCTGAGCTTAGGTGTTCTTAAGAAAAAATTAGCTGGAAGTTCGAGGTTAGCAGAATTACGAGCTTCTGCTGATCGAATCAGCAAAGGAATCCAACAACTCAAAGAGACAACTGAAAAGAAAAACCTCAAAGAATTTAAGTCTATTGATGTGGAAGTCCCTTTAAGGTATAATATCATTCAAGTGCTAATTATTACAATTTAAATTAGTTCTATAATACTTTTGCTCTAAAATCTTTATTCAAAATTCCATAAAAGATATATTATTTGATTAGTTGTAGAATCATATGTTTTGCTCAAATGTATTAAACTTTAATCTTCATATTCCATTTATGATAATAATTAGTTTATTTGTTTCAGCCCAAGTAAGAGAAGTATAATTCATAATGAGGTGCCAACACCTAAAAGTAACTCTAAACATATTAAAAAAAACATAGAGAAAACTCTAATTTCTCCGAGGAAGGTTGTTGTAAGCCCTGTCAAAAGTCCAAATAAGGTTAGTTTTTTTAACACTTCTTATGAAGAGGTTTATTTTGATAATTTATAGTTTAAACTATCTCTGTGTTGTGTATTGTGTATTATAAATAACTTATCAAAATGTTTTCCAGGTGCCAGCATATATAAGACATGCATCCTTAGCTACATCCTCTACCAGCTTACCTTTACCACATCAGTATAGATTCCTTGCTGAAGTCTTCCGTGGCATGGAGACTGTTGTGGCTTTACTTTATAATAGAAATGAAAAAATTACATTTTCAAAGCTTAAACCTTCTGTTCAAGAAATGTTGAAGAGAAACTTCACTGAAAAACACTTGGCACAAATAAAATGCCTTGTTCCTGACTTTTACAATTTTGAATTTAAAAAAATCAAAAACTTTAGCACTTCTTCTCATAAAGAATCTTATGAAATGATTTTAACTCCAAACTTTCCCAAAGATTTCAAATTTATGAATCCCAGTGTTTTACTGGAGAGGCGTAGATATTTCTATGATATATTGCTTCAGCTAGTGAAAAAGCATCATGCTCAATATTTATTGAATTTGGATCCTCCAATGGTTATTCCTGATGACAAGCTTACTCGCTGGCATCCCGAATTTGAACTTGAAAAGTTACCAGAAGTAGAATGTGCCAAGCTCCCAGAAGCACCTAATGTAGAAAAATTTTCAACTGCTCAAGATGTATTAGCTAAGGCTAGGGAGTTATTTAAATGCAATACAAAAATGGAGAGGGCAATGGAGAAACTAGCTCAAGCTAGAGCATGTGGTGAAACCAAAGAGGGAAAACCAGCTATTGGGTTAACTGATTGTAACCAGAATAAGCAGAACAATGTGAACACACAAACTGTTCTACCGAGTGTAAGTGAAGTAACTATTTTAAATCCTGCATTGAGAAATTTACCAGCCTCCTTACTAGAGAAAGTCAAAGCAAAACAAGCTGCTAAAGCTCTTGAGGCTATGACCAGATCATCAGAAAATGAGAAAAAGTATTTGATTTACAGCCGACTTCCAGACCTCGCTAGGACATTGAGAAACATTTTTGTTACTGAACGTAAAAATGTTTTAGCCTTAAATATCATTCTTTCTAAACTAGAGAGCAGTTTTAAATCTAATATATCTGCAAATGATCTTCAAAATGATATCAAACTGCTCTGTGAAGAAGTTCCGGAGTGGATAAAACTACATGACATTAGGAATAACACCTACCTCAAGCTTGATAAGAATGCAGATTTGAAAACTATCATATCTAAACTGGAGGCTTTGTCTGCAAAATATAAAATCAATTAATTTTTCAGATATAAGGTTAATGAATCAAGACTGAGATTATAACTTAGTTTGTCTTAGTTGTAGTAACTCATTTGACTTCTTGAATCTTTCTTTGATATATTTTTATGTGATTCTTAATTAAATTGTAAGCTACCTGTATTTAATTCAAGTAAATTTTGGTTCAAGATTAAATTAGACATGTAAGCAATATTGACATTTTAGATCACTTAATTCTTTATAATTTAAATTAAACCAGGACATTGTTATGTCAGATGACATTTCAAATATTTCAAAATATATTAAATTAATATATGATTGAACAGATTATAAAAATTATGGAATTATATTGTCACTATCACAAGACATGAAGTGCCTTTGAAAAGATTGTTTTAAATTAGTATGCAGGTTTTTAATAAGTATTTTATAATTATGTAACGCTTTACTCCTTAGTATTGATTTGAACAGTTCATTCAATAGGTACTTTCAAAATTATGAACTTAATTTTATTTGTTTTTATTAGTTAGTTTTTTATTTTTACTGTGTGGTATTTTTTTCTTTAAATATTTCTTTTGTAAATTATAATTATTGCTCATAATAAAACTATGCAAAGATGACAAAAGTATATTTTATTTTTTAGTAAGCAAGTCATAATTTGGACCACTTGAATCTCTGAAACCTTGATGGAATTCTTTGAGAGTTTCCACTGGTACTAAATATTTTCTTACAGCTGTATCTTGCATCATGTTGTCAATATACTTATTCTGCAACAAGGATAAGATAATTTTTAAGGGAGTCATTTAAAAGTAAAAATAATATTCAATTTAATTAAAACTACTTTTAAACGGTTTTATTGCATGTGTTTTTTTAATTATTTCTTACATATTCGCGTGTATTACATTATGCCAAAATTTTGTTACATAGAAATCGTTTTAGTCGATGAGTGTGTATTTTGTGAGAATATATAAAAAAAAATATAGTAATATAATATAACCAACACAATTGGAACTCAATGAATTTAAGAAATTAACTTTTATTATTTGATTATTTTAATGCTAACGATCTAAACATCTGATTGAAATTTAACTTTTTTGCTGGAAAATATTAATAGGTATTTACCCCTCTTCGGGATTTTACAGTAGGTAACATAAATATTTCCACAAATGTCATTCATAATACATTATAATCTTACCAAAACTTCATATGATTGTGCATTGATTTTAGCTCTCACATCATCACTGGCCCGTAACCTTTCGAACCACGGCCAAATCATATAGTCAGCATAACCAGGTTCATGTCCGTGTAAGAACTTTGCACTGCGACTTGTTAGTTGATATTGTATGAAGTCCAAAGACTTAAAAAATGCTTTTACATTATCCTCAGTTACATATTCTGGTTTCTTCACAAGCTTCACGAATAAACTATGAATCTGAAATATTAATTATTATATAAGAATTGAGAAATTGAGTATCGAATCTCAGCTAGAAAATAACACATCCCGATGTGACGCTGGCAACAATAAATTATAATGTCACACCTTTATACATTTTCTACAAAATTGTGACGTAGCGAACTACTTTAAAACTTATTATCTAAACAAATTCGTTTAAATTGAATAAAAAAAAAATCCGTATGTAATGTTTTTCTATTATCTAACTGACGGACTCAATAGAATTTATTTTTTTACCCAGTCGTCATCCCTATTTCGGGTTTCCCTCATACGTTACTGGGAGTCCTCGCAAGCATACTACTTTTTAATTATTTTATAATAGATAAACAAATTTTAAATAAATCAAACACAGTTTTAATTTTACACTTTTGATTTAAATCCTATTATGATATTATAATAGTGAAAGTTTCTTTGTTTGGATGTTTGGATATTTAGATGTTTGGATGTTTGTCCGTCAATCACGCCGAAACTACTGAACGGATTTTGATGAAATTTGGTATACAGATAGGATATTAGCTGACTTAGATAATTTTTACTAAACATTTCCCTAGGGTCCACGCGGGCGAAGCCGCTGGCGAAAGTTATATTAAATAAAGCCACTAGCAGATTAAAAATAGCAGCTTTTCACATCCATAATATATATCCATAATATCAAACTTTTGCAAACCTTGAATTAAACTCTTTTTAAAGACAAAATTTAAATGAATATATATTACATTACTTTCTAGCCAAGGGCTCAATGTATTCAATTATGCAATGATCTAAATAATTTGTCTATCTCATTGCATGGCGGATATGAGATAGATAGTCTTGGCATTACACCTCTTCTTGATACAAACAAAATCATGGTTATTGTACTAAACGGTGCCAACATATTGTTTTATTGTAGGTACTTGCAATTTGTACTCTTGATTTAACGGCCGTTTCAAATGTACAAAATCTCAATGATTAGCGATAACCTAAGTTTTTTTACATTCACAAGGCAAATGGTCCTAGTTTTATCAAACAGCAATCAGTTGATCATAAAATAAAAACTAAAATCAGAACGAAAATACAGTTTGAGACGTGCTTAACTTCAAATTATCAATTCTAAAACCGGGTGTTAAGTATTTAATGAGATTTAAAAATGTTAATATGTATTGTGCAATGGTATGTAGGTCATAAAACAAGTATTATACAAGTAGGTATGACTTTCAAATTGCTTATTTTAGTTCATTAATTAGTTAATTGGATTACTTAGTTGACTATTAGTTAATTGGATAGTGACTTATAAATATATTAGTAAAAATATAACTTGATTACAGCTCCGGATGCTTCTACAATCATTTTCGCTTGAGCCTTTTGCCGAGGATCCTTTGACAATAATGGTCTGTTAGAATAGATATCATCTAAATATTCCACAGTCGGGAGACTTTCGAAGATTGTAACGTTTTCTTCTATTTCTAGAGCGGGTACTTTACCTAAAATAAATATCTACGAGTAACTTTTTTATTTGTGAAGAAAATAAACAGTTAGTTCACTTATCAATTTTATAAAAAAAAAAATATTGTGTTAATAATTACGAACGACATGTATTATGTAATCTGATGTACGTATTACGGCGTAGGTAAACATAATTTGTTATGTATTTAATAATAACTGACTCAAAATTAAAAACATACACAATTATTCATCTTTAACGCTAGATCACGCGTGTGTAAATAGATATATTTAATCATAATTCAGCATTCCCTAACAATATTAGTTAATCGAAGCTTTTTTCGTCTTGCAGGGGGATGCCTTATACACTGCCTCAGCCGCTTGACGGATAGCAAGAGCGGGAGTTTTGATTAATCAGGTCCGTGTGGAACATGATTCCCATATACCCCATATGGGACTCATGTTCCGCACGGACCTGACTAATCAAAACTCCCTCTGATACACCTTCGCTTTTGGAAAAATATCCTGGAATCCAGAAAGAAAGCTCCACACCCGTCTCCGACCAGTTATTGGAAGCCCCCGTGTAGTACGATTCCTACGATAGCCTAAAGGCCTTACTCAAATTCCTCTAGGTAGAATGGAGAAAAACGATAAATAAACCGTACCAAAAACGTTTTTCTCGAAGAGCCACATCGGTTTGTTCATCAGATTTACGTTCACCACTTCGTAATCGATATCCTTTGCGATCAAAGCCAACATGGTGCGTTGCGCAAATGGGCAAAATCGCATATTGTATATCCTTAACTTGCCATTGAAAGGCGGGAGAGGATCACCTGCAAAAAAATCGTGTCTTTTATTATTATGCTCTGATATCTTGGATATCATCACCATCATATCGCTGGGTACAGGAAAAAACCACAGACAGCACGAGAATTAAAATCATCACTTTGATCTAAAGTAAAGTAGAATTTAAAATATGACAAAAAATACTTAGTACTTTTTGTCATATTTTAAATTCTACTGAGCATGAGCAAATACGTTTTAATTATCTTGAGTGAAAAATTTGAAGAGCAGAATACCTAAGACTTCCGGACGTGTGGCAATCCTAGCGTTGGCACGCAACATATTAAACATAACCTGAATCCATTTATTAATTACACCATTTAATTATAAATACAGTATTCATATTTTACAATAATAATAAAATACCCATAATGATGATTCACTCGGTTCATACCATTAGCTAAATGTTTCGAATTGAAGTTTCTGACTTTGACCGATGACGTCAATTTTCGAGATAGCTGACACGAACTTTGTACAGTCGGAATGAGCACTTTCCACGGCCACATTTTAAAAAAATAATACAATACGCGACTCTACCTAATGTAAACATTTAGTCAAATAAAAGATATTTATGTTTTGCGATTCTTAAACTATGTTCGCATTTTATCGTTTGACTTAACGCTCTCTGTATGCTTGCTAGTCGTAGTGGCTATTTTGTCATTCTCGTTTACATACAATTTTGAAGATAAGACATTATAACCCGTATTGCGTTTCGATAAGGTGTAAAGATAATGTATCTCGGGAAAATAGACCTTGATAAGATAGTTATTTCAATAGTCATTGTGATGTGACCACAGCACATAGCGACACAGTACAAAGCATAATGATTATTTGGTATTATTTGGTTTGAATGAGTATCTTAAGTATTTAAGAATTAAAACTTGTGTGTAGAGTTAAAAAGATTGTCATATCCAAGGTTTAAAAACCGTCGCTCTACCCCGTTAATGTTCTAACGTGTTTCAAACCGCAAATGATGCTGAAACCTGAACGATCTTCGAGTATGACAGATCATTCAGGTACTCTATTTCGGCAGATTAATCAGGGTTTTCAGTCAGACGGTAGAGCTGCCAGATAATAATAATAATAAAAAAAATTTGATAGTGCGTAGAGTTGTTTTAACCAGAGGGAGCTGTGACTCAATTCTGCTTATGTTAAACGTAATAATGGCGTGGAGTTTCAATGCCAGCTATATTCATACATGCTTTTCTTACAAAGTATACTTATAACAAAATATAACTATCGTTATTAATTCATAGACACCATTGTTCCTACTAATAATATTTAGCGTCAGGTAGATAATGCAGTATGAAAATTTGATTATTGAAATGCCATTATCACGTTAACATTAGCAGAATCTATTCCTTGGGGTGCGTCTGCCTAACTAGCCATAAGATACTTTGTTTTGAATACCTATAAAAATAAATGCATTGCTGGAAGGTAGAGTTTCTTAGAGCATTAAAAATTGAGAATAATGAAGGATACCGCGTGAAGATAATAGTTACCTACCCCGTTTGTCTCTAAAAATTCCATAAAAACTACAACTGACTTTAAACTTGAAAAAGTGATAAATAATACTATCTTTAAAGCGACTTATTTCGAGCCAGGCTAAGGTTGCCTGTAGGTTATTAGTTTAATGATAGGCGCTCGATTTCAATTGCATTTTCTTGAATATTTTGGATATCTTGCTTTTTAGTGATATTGATATCTTTTATATAATAGAAAACAATTGAAATTATTGAATATCTAAACAAAAATATTCAACTTGATGAAAGTCTTAGAAAAGGAGATTTTATTTATTTGTTCGACATAATTTTATTCCAATAATCTATACTCACATTATATAGAGGAAAGATTTGATTGCTTTTTGCTTGCATTGCAATCTACGGGAAGCTTCATAATACGCGGGAACTAAGGTATTATTTAACGCTAGCGAAGTGACAGGGAAACAGCTGGTGTGATAGAAATTGGTTCACAATTCAAGAAGAAATAGTTGAAATAGAATAGAAATAGGTGAACTTCTACGTTTACAAAAATACTAGCTTTCGCGAGTAGTAATATTTTGTTTTTTTAGGAAATAAATATACCTACCTCTCATCTAAATAATAAGGTGAGATATACCTTATATGAAAAGCGATTTTGTAAAAAGAAAACTATTGAGTCGATTTCAATAAAATTTAAATGGGACTACTCTGGTCCAAGAACAATTGGGAGAAATATTAGTGAAAACATAAAAAAACTTACATCGCCGTCGAACATATAACCTTTTCGATTTTGAAGTCGGTTAAAAATAGTTATTTTTTTACACAAACCTTAGGATTACTCAGAAAAACGAAAAATAATTCTTTAAAAAACTACTAAGCTGGTTACCAATTTAAAGAAGCTTCATTTGGGATTGGACCGTTAAAAATATAGGTATGGCCTGCAAATCCTCGCCCGTATTCAAATCGTCCGGAGCTGGCGCCGGGTCGAGCAGAATGCGAGCCAGCCAACCCCGAGAGCCGGCACGACCATCTCGCCGGCCCACTCCACCATCACCACCAGCTGGCTTGGGTCCGGCAAAGTCTTCACAGGCCCAGCAATCGGTCCCCGCCGCTGGTGGAGTACGCCGCATGAGGTGGACTACTCCACAAAACGAAAACATCATGCGCGCGTACTACAGGGCGACAGAGACGGGTGTCGGCGGAACGGGTTATCGGACAAGATTGCTTGCTGCGTTTCGTACCCTGGAGCCTACGCTGTCCGTTAAGGCGCAAAATTTGGCAGACCGAGTTCGCTTTATTCTTCGGAGAGAAATCTTTACTCCAGCAGAACTCGGTCAACTAAGACTCGAGGTTGTGTCGTCTATGAGTCCCGATAGCAGAAGGCAGAGCAGAAGGCGGAGAAGCATTGCGCGCAGCACCATATGCGACCCCAATGCTACAGTGGCCAGTCCTGCTCCTGCCGAAACGAGAAGGGTAGATGACGCAACCGCCCAGAATTAAGAGCAGATCAGGGGGTTACTTGAAGAGGCGATTGTCGAATTTCGCGAGCTTCCACTTGAGGAGAGGCCGAAAATAACTTGGAAGAAAGCGGCAGTCTCAGTGATACCAACTCGATCCTATTTAGCGCCACATTGGCGGTCTGTCGATTCATCGGCGCCAAAGTGCCCGCTGGGAGAGATGAACGGCATACCAATGCCCGGCAAAGCGGCAGACTGATTAGTTTCAGGTCAGGCAATACGAGGCCGAGGGTGATGCATTTGCAGACCCCACCTTAACGCGAAAAGTGTCGGAGCGCATCGATGACCTGAAACAGAAAATTGCGGCTTGGGGAAGTCGCATACGGCGGTACTCGGAGAGAGGGGCAAGGTTTTGCCAGAATCGTCTTTTTGGGAGTAACCAAAAGAAATTTTACCGTACATGGGAGACACGTGCTGGCCCCTCTACTGGCCAAGGACCGAATCTCACAGATGTCATTGCCTTTTGGCAGAACATCTGGTCCCGGCCTGTGGAGCACATAGAGAGCGAATGGATGGTGCCTATAGAGGAAGCGTGTGCATCGATGGATGCGATGAAGCCCATCACCATAGACTTGGATGACGTGTTGGCTGCGGTCCGTAAAGCTCTGAACTGGAAAACTCCAGGGATTGATGGACTGTTCCACTACTGGTTGAAGAGTTTCCGTTCATGCCACGAATTCCTGGCCCACCAATTCCAAGACGCCCTAGAACAGCGAAGTATTCCAAACTTCTTAACAAGTGGGGTCACTCACTTAGCTCCAAAGTCCACCAATACCGCGGATCCGTCACAATACCGCCCCATAACGTGCTTGTGTACCACCTACAAAGCACTGACATTCATTCTGAAGGCCAAGATTGATGCTCACGTTGAGCACAATCATGTCATGGTGGACACTCAGAATGGATGCAGGGGCGGGAGCCGCGGTCCCTGAATTCGCTTAGCACTTTGCTGGATAAACCTTGGACAGGATTTCAGATGAAGAGAGGATTGTTCAAAATATCTCACCTCTTCTACATGGATGATCTCAAGTTGCTTGTCCCGAATGTTCAGAGGCTGGCGGAATTGTTGAAAATCACAAAGGATTTCGGTAGCTCCATCAGCATGGAGTTTGGGCTGGACAAGTGTGCGGTTATCCATGATAAGTGATTCCACCCAAGTGGATCTACCGGGTGGATCCACCATCCGTACCCTCTCCGAAACTGATACATACCGGTATCTAGGTATGTCACAGAATCTGTATGTGCATGTGGCGGAAGTGAAATAATCCGTTAAGGAGGCCTTTTTGGGACGCCTGACTAAAGTTCTTGAAAGCTACCTGTCAGGCATCAACAAAGTCAGGGCCGTTAACGGTTGGGTCATGCCCGTCCTGATTAATGTACACCTTTGGCATACTCAGATGGATTCAGACCGAACTGGATCGGAAAGTCCGCGCAACTTTGACACTCCATAGGGTGCACCACCCGAGATCGTCAGTGATGAGGCTGTATATCCCGCGGAAGAGCGGCGGTCGTGGGGTGCTCAGTGCTAAAACCCTGCACAACCACGAGATACACAGTCTCCATAATTACTTCCTGGCGAAATCGGAGTCCAGTGAGTTGCATGTGATGTAGGTCTAACCCCTCTATCTTTGGCCACCGAGCAATGGCGGGAACCAGCAGTATTTAGCACCACTGACCGAGAGACTATTTGGAGGGAAAAGGAGTTGCACGGTAGGTTCTACAAGGCGCTACACGAGCGTCACATGGATCCGAGAGCCTCCGTGCATTGGCTGCGCTTCAGGGCCCTCTTTGGGGAAACCGAAGGTTTTGTCTGTGCAATACAGGACCAGGTCATTATGACCCGAAACTACCGGAAGTATATCCTGAAGGATGGGACAGAGGACGTTTGTAGAGCCTGTCACCAGCCCGGTGAGTCACTCAGGCATATTACTTCCGGTTGTCCTGTACTGGCTAATACCGAGTATTTGCACAGACATGACCAAGCAGCCAAAATACTCCATCTCGAGCTAGCCTTCAAATACGGCCTCATAGGCGAAAAGGTGCCGTATTATAAGTATGTGCCGGAGCCAGTTCTTGAAAACAACCGCGCTCGATTGTACTGGGACCGGTCCATCATTACGGACAGGACTGTTCTTGCGAACAAGCCTGATATCGTACTGATGGACCGGGCGGAATCTCGGGTGTTCTTAGTGGATGTCACCGTCCCATTCGATGAAAACCTCGTGAAAGCCGAATCAGATAAAAAACTTAAATATCTGAACCAGGCGCACGAGGTTACCGATATGTGGCGAGTGTCATCATACTGAGATCATCCCAGTCGTAGTGTCAACGAATAGCCTAGTCCCAACTTCTCTTCACGACTATCTGAAGAGGTTGGGACTCCGTGACGGACCAATGATTGCGAGGCTCCAGCGGGCAATCTTGCTCGATAACGCAAGGATCGTCCGCCGTTTTCTCTCTTTGTCGCCCTGACCCCCGGCCGTCTGGCCTCCTCTGACGGGGGGCATCCTCCCACCCCTCGAATCTTCGAGGGGTCGGGAAGAGTAAATTTTATACTTAATAATTATAATATTTATTTATTTGCGAAAATATGGTTACAAGGTAGTTTTACAATTTTAGACCAGCATATTTTATCGGCAAGACGATGTGCAAATATTAATTTTACTTCAAATGTGGCCCGCAACAGGTATTTTTTATTTATTTACTTTACAAAACTTACACGAAAGTTTATACGTCCATTTTTTGATCACCGCTTAACTCGAGCGATATGATACGGTATGTTAGCGATCATAAGACGATATTTCGTTTCATTTTACTACTTTGAAATATCTTTTTGCGGACAAAATGTGGATTAAAAGTCTAGGTTGGAACACTGCTTTCAAATCCACAATAATAATTGATTATCATTATTGGATCCTTAAATTTTAAAGTACTTACATTGTAAAGAATTTTTTTTTATAGTAAATATCCCCATAAGGTCGCTAAGATGTATCCTATGGCTACACAGTTAGGCGGTCGCACACCCCAGTTATGCTATTCTGTTAAATGTCTCATTCTATAATACGGGGGCTTTACCCACCTTCTACCTTGGTATCTGAGCATTGTATATGATGTTGATTAATAATTTAATATTAAGATGATTGGCTAAATAAGATTCTTTAATCGGTTTACCTACATTATTTTTTTATTATGTTGTGATTTTTATGGGGAGTCGTTCCACTGTTTTGCCTAGAACACCAAATTTCATTGAGCCGGGATGATCACAGTACCACTTTCTAGTACGCCTTTAACAAATAGAAATATTAGACAACGTCTCATACATTTCTTAGATCCCAATTTAAGTATCACAACACCCAGATCAGATAGAAAAGGACATGTCCTATACGGAAACCGAATCCTGGACCTCAGAGATGGCACCTTGAAATTAGCGTAAGCAACTCGGCCACGGAGGTTCTCTTATTTTATAAAAGCCATTTTAGTTTGCGGTAAGCCGCTATCAGTGTTCAAATCTTATCTTTATTTGACGCTATCAACAGCACTAACAATTGCCGCTGATAAGATGGATACTTCTAAATCATCATCATCATTAATAAACAAAAAAGAATACACGCAACCATATTGTATAATTTTTATATTTCTACTGTTCTAGAAGCACGTCATAATTAAGAGGCACTTTCTTCTTGTAGTTATCCATGAATGTAGATATCACTTCTTTAGGTATTAGATACTGGCTTACTGCTGGATCTTTGAACATTTCTGCTATATATTCCGTCTGAAACAAAACACAGTTATCAATATAATTTAATTAGGTCAGTCAGTAGCACTAATTTCCATTAAGGTTTAATAACATTCTTAAACTCTAATAAAAGATTCTAACTCCAGTTCAGTTGTAAGTATCTACTTAATATATGTTTGAGGCCTCTACCCAAATGTAAAGAGATCATTTAAAGAGATCATTTTGGTTGAGAGTTTGGTTCTTCTAATTCGTTCAGACTTAGCAGTCCCAGATATTATCATCCGATTTGCAAATAAAAATTAGAATTACATTTTTTTCATATTATGTGCTATTAACAGTTTATTGTGTAAAAAGTCTGTTTACTTATCATAAGTTTTTTATTAGCGACATATTAAAATTTTAGATAGAAACCGCGGCTGCATCATTCTTCTAGATCTTTCCACTTTTGTTTTGATTAAAGTCTGGTCATGTGGCACAAGAAATCAGAAAACAATAAAAGAAGTGAAAAAACGTGAGGACACTCCAGCATCGCGTTCTGTGTTACAGAGATCTATCTACTGTACCAACTGACTGAGGGGTTATAGATATGAGGAGCACTTCCCGCTGCGCACATAACAGTTTTGTCCGATAGACTTTCTATACATTGGAACCAAGAGAGGAGAAACCCCGAGAAATCCTATTAATAAAATAAAAAAATCTCACCAAAAGTTTATATTTTTGCTGATCAATCGCCACATGAGCTTGCACTGCATCTATAAGTGTGATTCTCTCAAACCACGGCCAGATCATGTAGTCAACGTAGCCAGGCTCACTGCCGCCTAAGAACTTTGTGCCTCGCAGACTTAACTGTTCTTGTACGAAATTTAAAGCCCTATGGAAGGCAGCTCGGACATCGTCTGTAATTGCTTCTGGGTCCATTATGGCTTTGTAAAATATACTTGTGACCTAGAAGACAGCAAAGTTAATATCATAGATATAGGTAGGTACTACTTATTTATACATAATTCGCTGTTCTCCTTCGATGCCACCGGTTTATGAAGTAGCTTCCGGGTTCCGGTAGGGGAAATATTTTCATGATCGGATCAGTATTTCTGACGATTACCAAAGGGTAATCTAGTTAAATCTTGTTTGTCTCTATAAATAAAAAGTTACTAGCGGAGTTAGAAAACTTTACCTTTTTATAATAATTAATACAGATATGTAAATTAGTCTATTTTTCAACTAAAAAATATTTAGTTTAACGCTCTTAACCTATACAACCATCAAAGATCACGCTAAATGGAATTCTTTTTAGCATGATCTTTTGCAGTTGTGGTAATTAATCTAGTTAAAATATAAAGCCTTTTACGAAATATGTGTCTACATATATGTTACGCTCAAAATAGATAGTGCTCATTGAGCAAAAAAATAGGTTACGTCTCGTTGTATTGCCACAAGGTAAGAATAGGTAAGCACATAGCTAATTTCGTGTTATAGTTCTAATGGAACCGCTCACGACGTGTTCAGGCAATCGCAGAATAACCACATAGCGAAATCCATGTCGTGGCTGACATGCCATTCGACCATAACGCTGCGATTTCAAAAAATCTTTCCCTCTATATATATCGCCGGCCGCGAAGTTATCGAATTAAAGATTTTTTTAAACCCCTCATGAATATACTCTCTTTTATACCCTGATTGTAGAGCGACTTTCTAAGCCATTAATCAAGTAAGATATCGAAGGTACATACTGGACCAAAAGCTTCAACAATGATCTTGTCAGAAGCTTTCTTCGCTGGGTCTTTAGGGAGTAGAGGCCGCTGTGGGTATGCTTCATCTAAATATTCCACGACTATTAAACTCTCGCAAATAGTTACGCCATCTTGAATTTCAAGAGCGGGAACTTTTCCTGTAAAATGTGGGACATTAAATATTTTATATAAAAAACAAACTACCAATTTTCCCTTTTTATAATTTTAGGAAAATAGATCTTCTTGCTTATTTTAGAATCTTCTTATTTATTTTATTATTTTTAGTTTTCCGAAAGATTTGGATTATATGATTTTCCTCCATACAAACACTCAACCCTTATTTGACTCCCTTAGGGGTAAAACTTTCATAAAAATTGGAACATGTATTAGCCTAAAAAATAATTGCTCTCTCTTACATCAAAAATGATCCCTATTGTAATAAAATATGTGATTTTATTCTTAGGGGTAGATTTTTCTTTCCATAACCGCCATTATTTCCATAACAAAGTTTCATATTAACTTGCAACCCCTATTTTTCCCCTTTAGTAGTTAAATTTCCAAATATTCTTCCTAGATGAATTACCTACATAACTCTACTGATCATGGGTCCAGCCAATTTCAGTAAATTTTATGATCGACGATGATGAGTCAGCATACCAGAATAAGCATAAAAATATATTTGTATAATATTACTTATTATTTATTGAAGATTAAACTAAATAATTAGGGTTTCATCTATTTTACCACTAAAACTCACTTTGGGACGTACCTACGTACAAGTATGTCGTCCTCGCGGTCAAGTCAAAGAAATTAGAGAAATAATCAATATTGGTGCTATTAATAAGACGAAGGACATCCTCCATGTTCTAAACTTAATATCGATTTAAGTCGTTGAAAAAATACAAAATAATTGTATTGTAATTTTATTTTATCTCTATAGATTATATGAAACCGACCCTTTAAGCCCACTTCTGGCCTTCCCTATGGATAGAATCAAATCGAATTGGGAAAATAGGCCATGACACACCACGCGGTCCCAATGTGGATTGGTAGCTGTTAACAACTGCAAATACAGCCGGAACCAACGGGTAAAAGTGCCTTCCGAAGGTAATTTATTTCTGGTTACCTATTTTTGAGGTAGCAGTATTTGTTCATCAGAATATTCAAAAGATTACAAAGTTCTACGATATATCCGTCTGTATCCGAGGTCTAGGCGCCTTCCCCGTAGACTGGTATTGGAAATTGTCCCAAAAACAAAACGATTCTTAAAGAATTTTACCTCTATGTGTCAAAATATATACAATAAAATACCATTACAATTTAAAGACCTCCCTATTAAGCAATTCAAAACATTGTTACGTCGATGGCTGTTGAACCATACCTTCTATACAGTAGAAGATTTTTTTAATCACAAGAAATAGCATAGTTGAGGTCGATGCAGAGTTAATTTAAATGTTTTAATAGTTTATAATTAATGTACAAGTTGACAATTCACAAAATTATTTCAATAAATGTAATCTTAAATATATAAAAATTTTGTCACGATGTATGTTGCCAATAAACTCCAAAACTACTGAACCGATTTCAATCAAATTTCACATGTATTCGTATTTTGGTCTAACTTACTGGATAGGATAGTTATCATCTCAATTCTTCACAAACGTAAACGAATAAAATGTACTAATTGTTTCTTAAGCAAGTGTTTATTTACTGCTTAGTTTTGTGAAGTTCTCATAGACGGCGGTGTACGTTGATTCATAGATTAAATTCTTCAATATCGTTTGATATCTAGGTTGCAAATACACATGAGTTAAAAAAAAAAATGGAAACTATTGGTCAAAATCAATGTTATCTACCTCATTTATAAAATTGAGTTTTTAAATATTATCTATTAATTTTTTGTATATATTTTGTAAAGAAGTCATTGTTTATAAAGAATAGTTAAAGATAAGAAAAATAAAATCTACATTTAATAAATTATAGTTTGGAAAAACTAAAACAACACGCTTTTGAAACTGATTGAACTAAAAATTTAAAAATGAAACTGGAGTACTCAATTGAAAAATTCATATTGTTGTACAAAAAGCGTGGGGGCTTGATTTTCATTGCTGTAAATATTTTAACGATAGTTTAGTATACCTGTAGTAATTATAATAAGCACCCCACGCATTTTTTACGACAAAATGAATTTTTCAATTGCGTACTCCAGTCTTATTTTCAATTTAGCTAATTCGATTTTACCGGAAGGGTTTTATTTCCACAGTTGCGATTAGAGAAATAAAATATGGCGGTACGAAGTTCGCCGGGTCAGCTAGTTAATTTATATATTTTTAATATCTTAATTAATATTTGTTATTATTTAAAATGGAAATTGTTTTGAAATCTAGTTGAACTGACATTTGCATGCTAGTGAAATAATATGGCTAAATAGGTTTAAGTACGTTATTGAAGGCAACTATCCACTTCATTGTAATCTACCCTATTTATAGCTAATAACGAATTATTATTATTATTATGAAAGCTGGACCTCATGAAAATTCTGAATTTCCCCGTCGACGATACCTATCTTGATACGGTCCGGACCTATGAATACCTATTACTTTCTAGGTCTGGACCATAATCAGGATAAATTTGGTTAAACATAGGAGGTATGGAAAACTACACTTACCAAAAATACTCTTGGAATTCAGCCATTCTGGTTTATTCTGTAAATTAATGTTAACAACTTCGTAATCTAATTGCTTTGCGTTCAGCGCCAGAATAGCGCGTTGTGCCCACGGGCAAAAGCGCATGTTGTAAATACGCAACTTCCCATTATAAGGCGGTAAAGGGTCACCTGGGAAATAAACAATTAATTTAGGTTGTTATAAGTGTGCAGAAATATTTTTGTTAGGTAGGTAAGTACCTCTTCCCTACTCCTATAGAATAGGTGCATGCCATGCACTCTGTCAAGAGAAATTTTTTATAATTCCTTGAATAAAGATCATGTGACATTCTATTGGTTAAACCCACTTGCAGATTATTATCCCTCTAATACCTCAAAATACAAAAGGAGGTTATATGTTCGATGGCGGTGTATGTTTTTTTTATGTATGTTCACCAAATGTTGACCGATTTTCAAAATTCTTTTTTTATTCGGCAGATTAATGGACCGAGGTGGTCCCATTTAAATTTTATCGAAATCGAATTAGTAGTTTTACTTTTATAACAAAACAAAATACGCTTTTCATATCGGTGTTTCTTTCTTTAATACGAGAAACGTGCCTTAAAACTAAAGAAAAATGGTGCCAATAAAAAAAAATATTACTTAGTTTTACCAGGATAATCTATATTTAGATGATATGTATTATATTTCATGTATAATAGTAACAAAAGATTGCGTATTGTGAATTCATTCAATATCTGAAATGAGGATTTTCGATTTTCAATATATTTTTATATGAAAATAGGTACGTCAATAGATACTTTAAATGTTTATAATTCATTTGTTTATGTTTTAGTGCACTCAAATAAAAACTTTTTTATATTTAAAAATCCCATACCTAAATGCTTACCTACAATTAGGCACAATTGTAAGTAGGCATCATGTAGGCATGTAGCCTACAATTACTAGCGACTTAGCCCTAGTAAATTATGTATGGCCTATGTCATTCGCGTATGATGAGGCTTCCCGAATGTGATTTTTTTTAATCGATCCAGTAGTTTCGGAGCCTATTCGATGCCGACAGACAATCAAATCTATTATCTATACAGTATTATTTATGTTATTGTTATCACGAATTTAAAATGTCTTGTATTGAAATTTATTTTAGACATACTTAAATATCGGGTTGGCACAAAAGTAATGAGACACTTGGTTTAAGTTTTTACTTTTTTATTATTATTACAATAAAAAAAGTTTAGTCAATGATGTAATTACCATTAGTGTCTAAGACTTCTTGCCAACGATCCGGCAAAGTTTGGATGCCTTTTGCCCAGAACTCTGATGGCTGTGCCTCGAAAAAGTTGTTCAACTCCGCCTCTACGTCAGAGAAATCATTAAATTGTTTACCCCCGCAAATGCTGTTTCAGGGCTCTAAACAAATGATAGTCTGATGGGGCGAGGTCTGGGGAATAAGGTGGGTGGGGTATCGTCTCCCAGCCCAAGTTCTCCAACTGCCGGCGAACCACAGATGCGACGTGAGGTCGAGCGTTATCGTGCAGTAAAACTACATTGACTCGTCTTCGTCGTTTTTTCTTGATAGCGGCAGATAATTTGGTAAGCTGGGTTGAATATTTGTCAGCGATTATAGTTTCATTGTGTAATAGCTCTTAAAACAGTATGCCTTGCGCATCCCAGAAACAGCAAAGCAGAATTTTTCGGCGGTTCTTTTGACTCGGCTTCGGTTGAGTTGGTGGCGTTTCTTCTCGAGGCAGCCAAAAAGCACGACGTGTATCGTTCTCGTAATAAATCCATGATTCATCTCCAGTAACCAGATCTGACAAAACTCTTTACGTCGGGGTCGCAGCAAAAGTGACTGACAGATAGCGACACGGACTGCACGACTGGCGTCTGTAAGGATGTGCGGTACCCACCGAGCCAAAACTTTTCGATAACCAAGCTCATGCAGATGGTGTGACTGCATTTAAGTGCTTCCGCTAATTCACGAGTGGTAGCATCCGGATTCAACTGCAGTTCGCGGCGCAAATCGTCATCATTCACTGCGGGTGGTCGCCCTGAGCGTGGCTGACTTTCGAGGCTCCTGTCTCCTGATTTAAAACGGTCAAACCATCGGGACACCGTCGCATGGCTTGTACTTCCAGCGCCTAATGCATTGTTGATATTGTCAACCGCAGCCCGCGCCTTGTGGCCTAACAAGTACTCGTATAAGTATAGTGTTCGAACTTGTCGCTCGTCCATTTTTCTTCAAACTGACTAAACAAATCGCGAGCGCGGCTTTATATACCCTACACCAGAAGTACCTAGAATGTTCTACAACATTCTAGAATATTATCGAAAAAATTGATTTTAAAAAGGAAATGTTATAGATTTTTCTAGTGTGTCTCATTACTTTTGTGCCAACCCAATATTATTTGTGAGAATAAATTATTTAATAACTAAACAAAAACGCACACTTACATCTAAACAAACACTAAATGATTTAAGCCATGTTACAGAGTTTATATTATAATATTGTGATTTGTGACACAGATTGGTAGGTACTTTATGTATGTGTCCCAGCTAAGTGGTTAAATCAACCGTTCAATCGTTTTCTTCCGCACGCCTTGTTTTCTATTTGAATAATTATGACATTTGGACCGTTCAACAAGACTTATGTAATTTTTTGCTGTTATTAACTACTGTAGCACTGATAAACTTCTAATTCGTAATAAATACATATACTTAAACAATCGCAGTTAAATATATTGAATCGCGGTATATCTTATCTTTGTATAATTGTTTTAGTATTAAGAATTCATTATGAAAGTATAAGCTTAGCCCATTTGCGTTATTATTCTGTACGTTAGGGATCACATGGACCATATGGACATATTAACAGTTAGTCGCGAATAAGCAGTTTGTTATTATCTTTTTAGTTAACCTGTAACTGTATCGATTACAGATCGTAACAAGGAGAGTTTGAGTTTTAATCTTACCAATAAATTTCGGTATTCCCGATGAATTGTCAGTTAATCAATTGGCTGAACCGTATTGTTCAACCGTATTGTAGAACGAAGCGTTCAGCTACTCAGCTGATTGAAGGTCAGCGCGTAAATTAAATGGCGCCATTCGATTGGACAGTTGATTTTACTACTTGGTTGCTATACAGATACTATTTATTTGAATCGCCAAATAAATAGTATCTGTATTGTGATACACACAGCTTGAATTGCTAAAGTAAACGGCCTTTTAAACAGTTCTAAAAAACTCAATTATCATTCAATCGATAAGCGCCGATGCGGTGCAACTCACTAAAGATGACGTAAAGTCTTCGATCTAGATATTTATTTAACTGACAATAATGAAACTACAATCTTAACTATTAATTACGATCTCAGTAGCTGAGTGGCTCTCATGCAGATTCAATAGAGTACATGGACCTAATCATGGAAAAAAGATCTGGGTGTTATGTTATGGTACCTTCGTTGCTTTAAAATATCTTAATACAGGTATTTTAGTTATTAAGCTGAACTAATTATATAAGTTATAATTATTTATTGTACTTAAGTTAAGAACTAATATTTAATCATACTTATCTATGTACCAAATTACATCTAGATAAAGTCAAATCCATTCGTTTTCGGGCTTTTAATAGGTAGCCCCTATAATAATATTTTTAATAAAGGTAAAATTTTATTTATTCTTAATAAGTATTCATACCATACTATTGATTATATAAACTTACCTTTTTCCAAGTGTTTTGTGTTGAAGTCTACTTTACTTGAACCCATTGTCCAGTACGATGCTACGTATTCCACAGCGGGAACCACAGAATGAAGCACTTTAAACGATGTAACAAGTACGTGACTCGATAAACTAACTAGCGATGCTATCATTGTAGAGATAGCTATTTACCCGTACACTACCCACGATGTTATTAATTTTCTTTCCAAATCATCTCCCTCTGGTTCAGATAAAATAAGTTTTTATTAGGTATAGTGAATTGTAAACACCTAACTTCTTTTATTCTTAATTACGCATTAAAACAAAGTATAGGTTATGTTGACTACGAACAACAAGCAATGCACGATTGACTGATATTAAGGTCGTCTCGCTTGTTCGTATTAGTAGTTGGCTCGGTTTCTAGTAAACAAAGGACTTCAGCTGCTCGCGCAGACTTGATAGCGATATATATATTATACTAATATTTTAAAGAAGAAAGATTGGATTGTTTGTTTGCATTGAATAAGCTCCGAAATTATTGGGCTGATTTTGAAAATTCTTTAACTGCGAGAAGCTTACATTATACCTACGTGGGCGACGTCATATTATGTAGATTGTGAGCGATATGGGTTATAATTTATGCTGGCGAAGTCGCGGGAATACAGAAAAGTTGTTAGAAAAATAAAGAGATTGAATTAATATTTCTTGGTTGATTTTTTATATGGCTAGAGATCATTTAACCTGTTTTTCGTAGGAATGGCGTAATATTCATATACGTTGATCTGTATAGGCTTCTAAACACGTGTGCTTAATTTATAGATGTATGTGTCTATGTTTGTCCACGGATATCTCGCAAACTAGACGTCGGATTACAATGATATTTTCTTTATTTGATTGCTTAGCTTTCAACTTAGGGTACAATACAAGTTTCATCAAAATCGGTTCACTAGTTTTTAAGATATAACCTATTAAAATTTAAACTATTTTTAAAGGAGTAAAAAATAGACTTCAAAAGATCGTAATAAAGTGAAGGGGCTGAAAAGAGAGGAATAATGGAATAATAAATTTTATTTTCCAATAAATCGAAACCCAAAGTACCAACAATCTTTTTTGAGATCAGTGTCAGCCGTGTCATTAGTAAGAAGTAAAAAGCACTATCAGAAAATATTTTTCTCTTACCATACGTGATAATTTATAAAAAAGGTTTTCAATTTGACCTATACGTTTATAACCGACCTTAAAACAAATAGGTAATCGATTCGATCTATATGTATATATCGCCAGATATTTGATATCTGGTAATAAATGTATATTGCACCGGCCTCAAAAAAAAAATACTTATGTATCTACTTTTTGTTTCAATTTCATTGAATATTATAAAAAATATTTTCAGTTTATTATAATTTTTTCATGTTAGTTTATTTTTTTTAAGTTATTTATTTATAGTTACAGTTATAGGATATCAAATTAAAGCAAAATTTAAATGTTTTACTTTTTATTATGCACCAACATTTACGTTTTAGTACGTACTTTGTTATTTATTGTAAATAAATGAAATTAAACAACATTTCCAATGAAATACAATAATAAAAACAATAAATAATGGTATATAACTGCCACACAGACAAGTTTTTGGATAATAAGTACCTCTATGGTAATGTAATTATTTTACTTTTTGATGAGGATGTATCTTTTACTAAGTAAATATATGGCAGATTTTATAAAGATAATTTGTGTTGACCAGAATTATTACAGCTTTAAGATGTTGTAAATATAAAAAAAATACAAATTTGAAATCTTGAAATGTCTTGACATTTTTAGTTTATCTTTGAGCATTGTTTTATAAAAAATATTATTGCTTCTTTCCATGCAATATTGCAAAATAATAATATATAAGTAAATCAAGTAAAGAATTTTCAATGTTGTGACATCATCAGAATTTATAATATGTCTCCTATTCTTTCTTCTTTCTTGGGCGCATACAGCATACAGCACTGGTGTCCAGCATATTATAGTTAGGGTCTCCCTTAGCACGGGACTCAGTGAATTTGGCATGTGTCTCTGCTGCTAAATAATATGCCTTCACAGCTGGCACCGTCTTCATTGCTTCAATATATGTTGTCTGTGGAAGTAACAAGAAATTTAGTATCTTTTACAATTATCAGTACACAGGCTAATAAGACTTGACAAAAATATTGTGAATATGTTCTGTGTCTCAAATTCTGTAGTCCTAGTAGTAGTGGAGTAAGACCTTCAAATTGAAAAATATTATATTTTCACATTCACCATGAGTGTAATAGTCAAATGGAAGAGGGTATAATTTCATACAAACTTTAGAAATAGAACTTATAAAATAAATCTCATAGAGCAAATTTATATGTAATAAAACCACTTACCAACAAACCATATTTAGCTGAGTCAATAGCAAATTCAGTTTTACCCAAAAGAGGTAATGCAAGGAATCTTTCCAAAAATGGCCAAATGGTAAAATCAACCAAGCCAGCTTCATCCCCATGGAGGAATTTAGTACCACGGCTTTCCATTTCTTTTTGTAAACCTTCCAAACCCTTGTGATAATTTTCAACCATGTTAGGTTGCAGTGCTTGAGCATTGAATGCAGCTGTATAGTATGCAGATTGGGCCTACAATTTGTAAAAGGAATCAGTTATCAATCTATAACATTACAAAGAACAACTTATTTATCTATCATATATAATTTTGTGTAACACATACACCGCTGAAATTTTCAACAAGCATTTTATCTTCAGCTCTCCTCAGTGGATCAGTAGCCTGAAGAGGTGCATCAGGATATTTCTCATCCAAATAAACATTTATAATGTTGCTATCAAAAATTGCCTTTCCTTGTTCATACTCTAGAGCAGGAACAGTACCTGATAACATAACAATGATAACAGAATGTTTGATTTTTTATAAATAAATGATAACCAGGTACATATAAACAATGTTTTCCTTAACTTATAAATAACTTTATAAGGTAAATATGAAGTGCTAAACTAAGATAAATAAGGATGCTGTCATTAAATAATGTTGAAGATTGAAAAGCTAATTATTCCAAGAGGCACTTTTTTACAATATTGAAGGTATATATACTTGGAATTAGTAAAACCAATTAACACTTGTAATGGCCAATAGTGTCTTCAAAAAGTGTGAAACGGTTTTAACCTACCTTTGGGGCTAAATTGGAAAATCCATTCTGGTTTATGGTCTAAATTGATAAAGACTAAATCATAGTCCAATTTCTTTGCATTCAACACAAGCACACTTCTCTCGGCGTAAGGGCAGAACCGCATCGCAAAAAGTCGTAATTTGCCACTATAGGGAGGCAGTACATCACCTAAAAGATAATTTATTAATAAGTAATAATAACAATGGTAACAGACTTTCTCGCAAACTTAAAAGCCTATTTGTGAATAATATTGAAAAAAAGTACTACTTACAAACTCGTAGATATGCTTACAAGTTATATACTATAAATTTACATGACGATACAATTGTAAATTTACACTGAAATAACATCCCATTTTGTACTTACACAAACATAAAGACTTACACGTCCAATAACTATTGGTCTTCCTTCTATGTAGGTATTATAAATTAAACTAAAATAGTGTTAAACTAGAAATTTAACTTAAGGTTATGAATTAATATTACAGAAAAGTTTATTACCGGTTTGTAAATGCTTCTCGGACATGACGGTGAAAACTTAAAAGTGTTTGAGATGTAAAATAACTTTAACTAAATTATTACAATATTGTAAGTGTTGGGGTATGGTCGGAACAATTCCTTTAAAAGAAAACACCCACAGAACACAAATACTAAAATAAAATAGGTAATTTATTTAAACACAGGCTCAACTTCTCACACAGCCAGCAGCCCACAGAACAATAATACTCTACGAGAAGAATGCCAACTTCATAGAAAAATATTATCCATAGAAACTAGCTCCACCTATAGTCAGCCCCCCGAAACAAGTAGTATGGCGGGAAGTTTAAATACTTATTTTTATACTTGGTTTTATATTAACTACCAAATTACTAAAACCAATGTTTTCTGTGAATATTTTTCGTATACGAAATCCATAACATAAACAAATTCCACAAACGATAAACATCCACAGGGAACACAGGTTTTAGTAATTTGGTAGTTAATCTAGGTGATATATAGGGACTACTTCAAAAAGGGAATATAATACAAGCAGATAATAATAACACACTCTATTTTATTATTATTTTAACATACCGCTTTATTACACAAATTAAGTGAATTTTCAACATACTGTTTGGTTTTTAACTTTAATTCAACATTGATTTACAAGCCTTCAGATTTATTTTAATGTGTGCACCAAATTATCAAGAAAATTATTTTGACACAGCATTCTATATTCAGTGTACAATTACATTTGGAATTCTGTTGATGAATTCCGTCCTTTGTGGAAAATATATTTAGCCCACGATTCACATCTGAAAACAAATACAACGAAATTAAGAATGTTATATCCTTATAGTACAAGAGATAGAGCTACATTTTCCTAAGAATTTTATAACAAACTAATTTAATTTATAGTTCGTAATCAATAAACAATCTTAGTCACCTTCACCTACATCATCACTTTTATCAGAAATAACAAAATTCTCTCATACAGATTAGCATGATATACCTAATACTAAAGCTCTTTGACTCAAGTCATATTTTTTACAACTAAATACAAGTATTTACGTCAATTCTAACTCTACTGCAAATAAAATAATTAACACTAGCATTACATAATGGGAATATTCTCTTGTTAAAATGTAGCGGAACTTCACGTACTATTCATTAGTTTGGAAATCTATATATAGAAAATTAAAGCAAGTACCGTATAAGATTCCTTTTAGTCGGCTTCGGAAAACGAAAGAGCTTTACATTATGCTGGGTTGGCGAACGTCCACACTTAAAACATTTTTTTCTGTTTTCTTTATCAGCCATATTTTCAACAACCACAACAACAGAAAAGAGTCATATCTCAAATTTCACAAATAACTATAAATCCACTTCCTAAGCACATTAAAAGGAGGAACAAAAGCTCATCTCGACGTTATAATGATAAGAAAATGCAGGAAACAAGTAATTGTGATGGAATCGCATGGAACAAGTGGGAACAACAACAAAACAAATTGCCATTGTCGACACCAAATCAGTTACAAAAATAACTACTACTAATTTTAACAATGATGCCTTCCAATTAATAAAATTAAAACGATTGCAACTCAAAAAAAATAAAAGTCAGATGTATTATTTACTTGACTTAATAAAATGTATTTCTGAATATTAAAAACTTGGATAAATATATTTTTTTGGCAAAAGACAACTATCAGAGACTACTAAAATGTGTGAAAGTCATAACATGAGGCAACACTGCAGATTCATTTCATTGCCATACTATTAAATCTTAGTTGCTAGTTAAAAATATGGTATTATGAAAGATTATTTGGGTCTTTCATCATAAAATTTTGCCCCTCTAGGTATAATTTTACACTTGTATGAAGTTACCACCCCCTGCAGCAGCCAGACAGCACCAGATCAAAGAGTAAAAGTATGCATCACAGAACAAAAGTACTCTACGAGAAGAATGCCAACTTCATAGAAAAATATTTTCCATAGAAACTAGCGCCACCTATAGTCAGCCCTCCGGAACAAGTAGTATGGCGGGAAGTTTAAATACTAACTTTATACTTAGGTTTCATATTAACTACCAAATTACTAAAACCAGTGTTTTCTGTGAATATTTTTCGTATACGAAATCCATAACATACACAAATTCCACAAACGAAAAACATCCACAGGGAACACAGGTTTTAGTAATTTGGTAGTTAATCTAGGTGAAATATAGGGACTACTTCAAAAAGGGAATATAACACAAGCAGATTATAATAACACACTTTATTTTCATTATTATTGTAACATACCACTTTATTACACAAATTAAGTGAATTTTGAACATACAGTTTGGTTTTTAACTTCATTTTAACACTGATTTACAAGCCTTCAGCATTATTTTAATGTGTGCACCAAATTATCAAGAAAATCATTTTGACACAGCATTCTACAATATGTTCGGTGTACAATTTCATTTGGAATTCTGTTGATGAATTCCGTCCTTTGTGGAAAATATATTTAGCCCACAATTCACATCTGAAAACAAACACAACGAAATTAAGAATGTTATATCCTTATAGTACAAGAGATAGAGCTACATTTTCCTAAGAATTTTATAACAAACTAATTTAATTTATAGTTCGTAATCGATAAACATCCTTAATCACCTTCACCTACAGCATCACTTTTATCAGAAATAACATAAAATTCTTTCATACAGATTAGCATGACATACCTAATACTGAAGCTCTTTGACTCGAGTCATATTTTTTACAACTAAATACAACTATATATGTAAATTCTAACTCTACTGCTAATAAAATACCTAACACTATCATTACATAATGGGAATATTCTCTTGTTAAAATGTAGCGGAACTTCACGTACTATTCATTAGTTTGGAAATCTATAAATAGAAGATTAAAGCAAGTACCGTATAAGATTCCTTTTAGCCGGCTTCGGAAAACGAAAGAGCTTTACATTATGCTGGGTTGGCGAACGTCCACACTTAAAACATTTTCTTCTGTTTTCTTTATCAGCCATATTTTCAACAACCACAACAACAGAAAAGAGTCACTATCTCAAATTTCACAAATAACTATGAATCCACTTTCTAAGCACATTAAAAGGAGGAACAAAAGCTCATCTCGACGTTATAATGATAAGAAAATGCAGGAAATAAGTAATTGTGATGGAATCGCATGGAACAAGCGGGAACAACAACAAAACAAATTGCCATTATCGACACTAAATCAGTTACAAAAATAACTACTACTAATTTTAACAATGATGCCTTCCAATTAATAAAATTAACACGATTGCAACTCAAAAAAAATAAAAGTCAACTGTATTATTTACTTGACTTAATAAGATGTATTTCTGGATATTAAAAACTTGGATAAATAGAATTTTTTGGTAAAAGACAACTATCAGAGACTACTAAAATGTGTGAAAGTAATAATATGAGGCAACACTGCAGATTCATTTCATTGCCATACTATTAAATCTTAGTTGCTAGTTAAAAATATGGTATTATGAAAGATTATTTGGGTCTTTCATCATAAAATTTTGCCCCTCTAGGTATAATTTTACACTTGTATGAAGTTACCACCCCCTGGTATGCATGCACAAATATACTTATATTCTTTACAGCAAGTTCAAGGCCATAAAAAAAAATATCCGTTATGTTTTTTCTTATGACAAAGAGAAAATGACAACCATGGACTTAATACTATATAACAGGACAGATCACTCCCAGCTGAAAAACAAGCCAAACAAGTTATCATGTACAGAGGCTATATGTCCCTTTCTAATAGGGTGACAATAACACTAATTTAGTGAGATTTTTCATATGGTCAGTTTTTTAACTACCGCGGCTATTATAGTACACAATAGTCTTGTTTATAAATCTTGGTACTGCGAAGGTCAGTTATAGGATGGGTGGTCAAATTTTCGGAAAGATTTAGAATGACCACGTTGTCCCAGTACGAATTACTGGATAGATTGGTTCCATCCTTTAATAATACCTGTGCTTTAGCACTATGTTTTAGCACCGTTAATCCTCATTAGTTTAATAAGGAATGTCGGGTGGTTTTATTAATCCATTAAGAATTTCTGTGTTTCAGTTCCACCACTACACATTGGCACCTACATTCAGGCCTATAATTCTGAAAATTGTCTTTACGAAAATGAACTTTAATTTAAGTGTTCATTCGTTGTACAAAATAAAAAAATATTTGTCAAGATTCAGTAGTTTTGAAGAACAATAATGATTGATGTATCAAATCGGAAGTTCGTGCACGTATACAAATGATTAGCGTGTTTTATCTGCATTTGTGAATAGGAAAAAGACAGGCGTTGCGGGATGTGGAGCAGAGTTAAACGATACACCGACCAAATAAGGTAGTCCTTTTACGCAAACGCTACTCTTTAGATGACTTCTTAATTTAATCAGGTTGCGATAAGCAATGTCTCTCAAAACCGTAACACATGCATGAATTTTACACACTATACAAATGATTTCTGCGTATAACACGAGTTTTGACTTATCATGCTACTATTGCGAATAAGCTGTAAGAAGTTTTCCGCTCACTAGTATGTTATAGTAGTTCTGTCAACTTTTGATAGATGACACTTTTACTAATTTAACCAGATTATGATCATGAGTATGTGAACACTAGTATCGAGTTAAAGTATAAATATATAAGAATTAAGCAATGTAGATTTATTTGGGTTTTATGAGTAGGGTATGTAGTGCTTATTTGGTGTGCATGGTGTGGTGTGTGGTCTCAAAATTTTTCCAAAAAAATTGACCTCTCATCTTATGAGGAAGATGCCGCTACGGTACCTTCTTGATTTCTCCATGACAACCCTTCCGGTTTTCTTTCATGTATAAAAGAAAATTTATTTTCAAAACTCAATAAACAACTCGTAATCTATTTGTACCTTTTCGTATTTGTATTAATATCTAAGTTTCAAACTTTACAAATTTAAGTTTTTTAATATGTCAGCTAAAAGAAATGGAAATGACTATCTTTGTCCATTAGTTTCTTGCATAAATCAACTTTTGCTTTCCTCATTACCGTCCTTTGCAATCACGATAAAATCCACACCATCAAACTTTTCACATGTTTAAATTTATAAAAGGGATATTGCCATATTTGGTAATATTAGTACCCGCGCATTTGAGATTAGGCAACTTATATCGCTCACTTTCTGAACAGAAAATGGAAACAGATAGAGCCGGTCGAGCAATACGAATGAAAGTAAATAGAACACAAAAATAAATATTTGTTTTGCTTAAATTAAATTAATTATGAAATACAAATATTTTATGCTCCTGTCACGTGACCGCAAACAGCGCGTGACGTTAGGCCCCTCGTACTTATATCAGAACTTAGAGAATTGAACCTTATGCTTAAGCCGGAGAGAATACTTACGTTTTTCTTATATATTTAATACTACTCTATGGTTTTTTCCTTAAATGGTGCGTACAGATTGATTTTTGAATACCATGGTCCTAAACAATCGATAAGCTAATTTTATTGCACAACACTAAAATGAATGAACAACAACAAAACTACATCAAGTTTCAATAATATGTTTATATTATGTATGGTGAATGGATGAATAGGGTTTATTAATCAAAAACAAAAGTCATAAAAACGATCATTATTATAAAGAAATTCGTTTATTATTAATAAACTTACCCGATATGTATCAAATATACTATGCATTCGTACAAAATAACATAACTGCTGGCTAAAATGACGTTTGTGCAAAGTGTAACGTGCAAATAACTTGTGCTTTCGAAATTAAGACATTATAAAACTATTATCAGTTATTAAATCTTATATTCATAATTAAATCATCTTAATAAACATTCAGCAATCAACAAGAAACGTCTGCTCTAAACGAACAGCAAGGTTATAACTTTAAATTTCAAATCACAAAGTTATTATACTATTGCTACTGATCTTTCATGTCGAAGGCGGACGTCGAGCTATGTGTTAAGTTAATTCGTACGGTGGGTTTGTGCTTTTTGGTTCTTACAATAATATTGTTAATAACCGTTTGACTTCCTACACAACCTACTCTAGAAATCCGTTTTATTGAAATATATTATTTACTAAGTACCTAGAGTAGTTATGGTCTCTTAAAATCTCTGCGGTGGTATCGTGTGCGTTAGGTGGTTACGTTCCCTCAAATATAGTATAGCTGAGTTGTTTAGTTGAAATTAAAAAAGCAGCCCTTGCTGAGTTTCTTGCCGTTTTTTGTCAGTACGAGATCTCCCGCCTTAGTTTTGCGAACCATTGGTAAAGTTTTCGACTTTCACAAGTACTATGTAACAGCCTAGACTGAATTGATTTTGATATTTATGTTAATATCATTCGTTTTGTGGATGCATAATGACACTTCATCTTCATCATTATTTTTGTTCTCCATTCCAAACCTGAATTCAACGAAAGTTACGAGCAACCAATAAGTTGGCTCATCACTAATGTTGACGTATCAACCAAACATCGTTCCTTTACACGTAACATAATAAACAACTGAAACTTACAATTAAAATAAATTCAAATTAGTTTGAAAATTGTGACTGAACTGAACATGACAATGACATTTGACATGTGAACGACAAGGAAAGGGCAAGTTTGTTTTTGTAACTTGTAATTTACCTACCCATGATTTTCTTCTCATATAAAAGATAATAACAGGTCTAGGGAAAACTGTGATATCTGGCTATCGTTTTTATTTTACATGTAAAAATGCATATGTGAAAGATTTTTTTAAATTTACGACCATGAATCCATATAAGGATGTTGAAGATGGTTCTTTCACTCTTCCTCACATTACTTATGAAGATATTGCCACGAAGCTTTTGAAAGATCATCACTTCTTGACAGCTCTAGAACTACACACGGAGCTTGTGGAATGTGGAAGAGAACTGCCGCAACTAAGAGAATTCTTTTCAAATCCAGGAAACTTCGAACAGCATGTATCCAGGGCGTCTGAGCTTAATTCTATGCGTACGTATTTAATTACAGCAAAATAAATGGTAATTTGAAGATGATCGAGTGTTTAAAGTTAAATTTTATCATACTATTGTGTTTTATAAAAATCCATGCTTATTTATTCTTATTAGAGTAAAGGTAATAATGTAATAACATTTAGGTAATGTATGGAGTATTAATAAAATTTACAAACTTGTTCTTTCTAGTTAGAGTAATATTAATTTATTTATCTAATTTTACTTCTTATTTTTATTTTGAAACCAAAATATATCTAGATCGGACACCAAGCCAAGCAACTTTAGATTCTTTGGACACTGCTCGTTATTCTGAAGATGGAGGTGGAGACAGAGGTGGTAGTGGAGGGGATGTAGCTGTCCTTGAATTTGAACTTAGGAAAGCAAAAGAAACCATCAATGTTTTACGAGCCAATTTGACTCAATTTGCAGGTATAAAACAATTGCGTTTGTGTCCTACAAGTGAAAAAACAGGTGTATGTTATATGGCTGGGCAATATAAACCATTTTAAGTTTTAAATATTCAACAATACGAATTTTACTAAACTTGTAAAAGTAGAAAAAATATATTACTAAAATTTTGCTTAAATACATAGGCATTAAATTAGTTACATAAAAGTTTGAAACATAAACACACACAAACAACATAGATATAACAAAGCCCAGATGCCCATATGTTTCGAGCTACCATAGCAAAGTGTGACAATACTTCAAAGATTGAATTTGTAAGAGTGTTTTTGGTTGACTAGCAGCAGTTCAGCAAACGTAGCACTGTATCTCTGAAACTATTGATTGCAGACTTGCTGTTACTTCTACATTATTTCTCAAATATGAATGCACTATTATTTACTGTACAACGGTAAATAAAATAGGCCACTAGCTTATTTTTAATGTTTTTTTTTTTCTTATTTTGCAAATCACACATTCCTTTTTTCAGATGGAGATTCTGCTTTAGACAAAGTGTCCAAAGATGCATTTAATCAGAGGTCTTTAAAACCTCATGAGAAAAAAGCCCTTAATTTTCTTATCAATGAATATCTATTACTACAGGGCTATAAACTCACCTCAATAACATTTTCAGATGAAAATCCTGATCAGGTATGGACATGGACTTTATTATATTTATTTTGTCAATGAGGATATTAAAATGTGGATATTCTATGGTATCAGATATTACAAATTTAGTTCATTCACACAAAATATTTAATTTGTTTTTAGGAGTTTGAAGATTGGGATGATGTAGGTTTGAACATGCCAAGGCCAGCAGGATTGGTATCTTTATTTTGGGGAAATTCAACATCACTGAATATACTTAAAGTTGATGCTTGTACACAACATGACATTCATATTGATAGCATAGGATGCCAAACAGACTTAGAAGATGGGAATATATGCATGAGTTGCCAGTCATCCCTTGATGCTGGTACTGATTGGAATCATGAGGTAAATTTCATATTAGCTGTACTTAAATAAATTAAATCATGGTATAATTAAACTAGTCCTTTTAATTGCTGATTCCAGTTGCTGATTCAAGCTGAAGAGATAGTTTTGTTAAAACAAAAAGTCATAGCATTAGAAACTGAGAAACTGAATTTCCAAAAACTTTATGATGCAGCTATTGTCAGTCTGAATGCACTAACAAGCCCTATGTCAGATAACAAAACATTAGACTTTAATATACCAGATGAAAAAATATCATCTGTACAATCAGCTAATGACAGGATAGAAAATGCATTGAATGTGAGACCGATCACTTGTACAGCAGCGGAAAACCATTATGGCAGTGGGAATTCCACACATAGTGCTACACCAGAGCAATTCGAAATGATAGATAGTGAAAAAAATAATGCCTTGTAAGTTTACTAATTAATTATTTCTTTTAAACTAATGCTTTCTGATTTATATATGTGTTTCAACTAAGTATATTTGTCATGGCCTGTCCTCCTTAACCATCAATAACAAAACTCAGGCCTTCCTTATGAATGGTTAAAGAGGATGGGATATTGATATAAGAGATTCCTGCAAGGGATGTTTAAAGGTAATGACACATGGTTGTGCATCAAGTTACCACAATATTTCAATTTTTCAGTAAACCATTGTGAATGCAAAATTGAACAAATTTTCATCTGTATAGAAAGTTTAAATATTTGTAAAAATGAAATATCTTTTGGCTGTTTGGATAGATTGCCTGAACATTGATGAAAATATGCTCTGTAGTAGCAAAAAAGTAACTTATGCTTGTAAAATTCGTCGGTCCTGTTAGGTCCTGGGTAGCCCCCACACAACACATACAACCCACACAACACATACACATACAATAACACATACACATACAATAACACACACACAGCTACACACACACTGGCATACATACACTTTCACACACACATTCACACATCTTACACACACATCTACACGCCGTACTAGTCTGGAGTAGTATAGTGGGTACTTACCTGTGTACTTACCTGGGGACTTACCTGCTGTGCTTGCTCGACGACTGGTGCGGCGCCGGGACCTCGGTAGGGCCGTAGCCGCGGCGCCACGAGAGGGGATGCGACCCGCCGACCGGCTGGACGCTCCCTGTCTGCCCTCCGGGGCTGATACAGGGAGTGATGAGGCTGGTCTACTGTGGCGCATCGACCTACGGGGGAGAGGATCCACGATAAGGGCTATGCCTGTGTGGATCCTCTCAACACGATGGGTAGGGGACCGGAGATTGCACAGTTGCGCATCTCTGGTCTCTAGTCAGGGGCAGCTGGCCGGTTCGCGCAGCGGTCGGCATTGCACGCTCCTGCCTCGTCGTGGGGGTGCGTCTCGAATGTCTCTGAGGCGTACCCCCAACTCGAGTGGGACCTGCCCTTTTCAGGGCGGACCGAAATGGGGGCGAACCGCGCGGTGTATGGCCTCCGGGCATCGCCTACCATGAGAGGGACATCGCTGAGTTTTAGTGGGTAAACTTCTGTTTCTTGTCTAGCCCCTTCGAGGACGGGGCCACAGGAGGAGTCCCACATCACCCGTGGAGCCCGCGCAGGGTGAAGCGGGTATGCGTAACGCATTTCTCAGCGTCAAAAAAAAAAAAGTCCTGGATAGCTCAGTTGTTAGAGATTGCTTAGGTTAGAGATCGCTGATTGCAAAAAGTCATGGGTTCATCCCATGTCAGAGTACTAGTGACAGAGTGGATTTTTCAAGCATTTTTCATTTAGAATATCTACTCTCAATTTATGAGGGTTTCTATTTAAATGTGGAAATTTTACAGTTTTGTATAGTCTGATGTGCTGTTGACTGTACACCAATCAGGATTATATTGAAAGGTGTTCTTTGGTCAGTGTTCCTTGTATAGATCAAAACACAGCTTCTTTTGATATTCGAGTACTTAGAAATATTTTTGTTTTAGAAGAAAAGATGGTTCTAATACTAGTTCCTTTGACCCTGTGACACTTGACAACAGTATACGTGATTCTCCATTGCGAAGAAGTAGTGTGACAACACTGGATGAAACCTTAAGTATCAATGATGGAGGAGAGTGGACTCGCGTACATTACGATTATGGCGTCGCTGAAACCAACAGCAAAGAGATATGGATAGATAGGTGAATGACATATACAACTAAAAATATATAAAAAAAATAAAATTTCTACCCAAAACCTTTTTCTATAACAGTTTAATCTTCCCTCAGTATTCTGAACACAGCTATAATCATAATTTAAAAAGAGTTTTTATTTATTATATAAAAATAGAATAGAAAAGAAATATTTTTTTTCACATTTAACAGAAATAATGCACATCATTATACACCCCAATTAGAAAACGCATTTTTAATTAAAAAAAACGAAAACTGGAATTTTTCTTTTATATACTTAAACATTGTATATGTATGGACACAGTTATACTAATTTATTTATTTAATTGTATTCCACAATGTAGTATTAAGATTTTGCAAAACTATAAATGTTATAGTTATACTTTAAATATTTTTTTATCAATTCAGAATAATTTAATGAACCTTTATTTTGTAACATTATTGTTAAGTATTTTGTTTCAGTGGTCTACCACACAGTTTGAAAGTTTCCATTTTGAACTGGTGTTGTGAAACTCTGAATTTAACAGAACCACTTAATAATGACCTCTTGGCAGAGCTGGTGACAAGTGAGAAACAAATCACGTTGCCTGGGTTATTGACATTAGTTGCCGATACATTACCTCGAGTAAGTACATAGCAACACAGCTTAGCTTTCAATATGGTTATTAATAGATTGCAATTATCCTTACATATTTTCACTGAATGTTTGTGTTTTTGTTACCTTTTCATGAAGCCTTATTCAGCCTTATTTCTAAATAAAATACCCGTAATGCTAATGATAATGCTTTTATTCTGAGCTATCATCAGAATATAAATATTAAATACTATATTTCTTAACGTTTTTACTAAGAGAAAGTGCAAATTTTGTGGGGTTATTAAGGTACATTAATTCACAAAGTACATACTTGTCATGAAATTGGTGGGTATTGCGCAGAACGCGCATTTTAGGAATGAGTAGTTCTTTTTTTGTTGTTGTTATAATTTGTGTTATTGAGAATTCTTGTTGTTGATTCATAGTTTTAATTATTTGTTTTGGATTTATGTGTTACAATATCTAATCCAACATTAAAAAAACGAGCAAGGAAAATGGTAATGGTAAATACTAGAGCAATATCCTAACAGCCAAAATGATCTCCCTTAAATATTGTGCTGTGATATATGTGGTGTTCAGATTAGTTGGCTGGTTGTTTATAGATAATACCACATACGCTTGTGGCACGGCGATGTGAAACAGCGGCGTTACTGGCAGCCGGTGCGGCCTTACTGCCGCCAGGGGACTCGAGACGGGCGCGGGTGTTGCACACGTTGCTCACGCTCGTCAAGAAACCAGACCAAGCGGACACCAGGGCGATATGCGAAGGTAAAAATTAAAGATGCGCCGATTATTCGTTTGATATTCGGTGTATTCGGCATCTTTTTCGGAATTTTTTTCCAGCCGAATTATTCGGTTTTGGTGCTAATATTTATATTTTCTTGACTATACAGCACGGTATAATAGTAAAGTACTAAATGGAAAAAAGTTCTTATGTTAGATTAATTATTATAAGTGGAATAGTCCTACGAAGAATGTGTCCAATAAAGCTGATAAAATAATGCAGTTAACTTTCAAATCAACATTTGTTTTTAAACTTGTTTACGCGACAAAACAATGAAATGGTAGACCGAATAATTCGGCCGAACTAATGTGATGCATGGTCCCTCTACGTTTGCGTAGACCGAAGGTACGATAATGAGACTTGTTTCAATAACTATAGGATGTAAAATATAATGCGTCCATCTTACCTTTGCCACGATTTGGAACTCATACTGCTGTGCAAGCCCGTCAGGTTATATAAAATTACCAAAGTTCACCCACTCGATTTTAAACATCAATAAATTGAGTTGAGTTTTAGCTATATTAGTGCGGTAAAAAATATTGATAATAGATATCCAACAATATTTTCTCTCTGTCCATTTAGTCTATAAAAATCTGTTTTATACTAAACTTTATCATATTGTGTAATAAAAAATATTTTATCTATTACAGCAACATGCTTGATTGTGAAATGGGGTGGTAGCGGGGAGGTTTTATCTTCAATAGCCGAACTTTTGGCCTCTAGGTCTGCCGAACGAAGGATATTAGCCAGCCAAATATGCGTGGCCATCGCGCCGTATGTGCCTATAGAGTTATGCACATCTCTCTTGCTTAGCTTAGTAATACTTATGTGCGAATCAAACGAAGTGGAAATCAGGAGTTTGGGATTAAAGTCCGCCTGTCTTATATGCCCTGTCGCTGAACACAAATATGCACAACTCGAGAATCTCATGTTTAACTTCTTAAAGGATCCCATTGAGAAGAATATTAAAGACACTGTTCATATTTTTGTACCTATATTAGCTAGAACAGCTGTAATAGCAGGTAATGAATCCATATAATTTTTTGTTATACATGTTTTTATAATTATGATTTTAACAATTAAATTATTGCAGGGAAGTTTTCATCTGATCTGTGCAGTAGAGTCATAAGTAATTTAGTCAAAGCAAGTATGGAAAATGAGTGGAAAACTATGATATTATATTTAGATGTAATGAAAGCATTAGTTTTAGCTAAGTTGGCCTATGTGGTCAATGTACAAGTAGTTAGGGATGCAACTTTTTATAACTGTGATAAGAAATCGATTAACTTACAAGAGGTACCCTTGGAAGGCGAGCAAGAATATTTTATAGATCTGCAGTGCTATATTACTGATAATGTAGATGCGAAATTATTATTGGTAGCTATGAATAAATTAATTAAGGAAAAACCTGAAGTGAGATGGACTGAATTAACTTGGTTTATAAGCATGTGAGTATGATTTGTAGATTTACTAGCTTTCCGCCACTTCACTCACATTGTCCTCTTTCATATGTAAACCTTCATTCTTGAATCATTCTTTATATTTATGAAAACCGATTTGAAATCCGTTGTGTAGATTTAAAGATGTCAATGTACAGACAGCAGGAAGCGCTTTTGTTTTATACTATGTATAGATTTTACATTGTATGTATAAGTATACAACAGTTTGCGAATAATTATTTTAAAAACTTGACAGTTGACTTTTAGATGCAGTAATTAATATTTGTGATTAATGACAATCAATCCCTCACGGAGGTCGTCATATGACAAATTGTGACTCTGATACAATAGGGAATATGCACATTTTTGAAAATGTTATCATTTAATAATTTACAACGTTATATAACTGTAAAAAATAAAAAGCATCGATGAACTAATTTTTTTTAACAATAATAATTGATGACGTGCTTATCGTGACGTCAAAGAACCCGACTAGAGATATGACATTTTAAATCAATATGGATTTCGAGTAATTTATTAATATTCAATTACCCAAATTGATTAACGACTGATCGATTTTTTTAAAGTATAATAGTCTTTTTTAATAATCATATAGTTTACCAAATTGGTGAAATAATAATAAAAGCCTAAATTTCAATTGTAATCTGTTGTTTATTTTGCGACATAATACATTGATATTGCATCGATGTAAACTTTTTGTAAAAAAGATACCTATATGTGTACATTTTCATCACATCTGCTCTGACCAGTAGCATGGCCTTTGAATATTTTGAAGTTACCGCTTTTTTAGCACTATTTAATAATTATATTTAAGACGAAAACGAACTACAATCTTGAAAATATTTACAGACTTTATTTAAAGCAATAATGATCGTAATAAAATATTTTAACGCTTTTTTTTAATCAGACGCATATTCCCTATTGTCGAAAACTGTATTTTTGTACTGTCATGATATTATATTACTACCTATTTTCAGAATGAAACAAATATTAGAAGTGGCCACAAATAGCAGAGTACTAAATCATCCAACAATTTACGAAGTACTTATATCGTTATTTAGTTCTTACGTTGATAATTTCGATGCGGACATCACCTATCATATAGTGAAACCAATATTTAATGATACTATTGTGGATTTGGAGAACAAATTGGAGAAACTTCATAGTTTGAACGTGGAAAGTACAATTATTGTTGGTATATATTTGATAGCTGTGTTGCCAGCTTTAGAAGATAAAACACAGCATGGAGAATTTCTTCAAAAGTGAGTATATAATAAACCAAATTATATTATTTTCTGCTAATAGGTATGACTAATTTTTGTTTCTTTATCCGTTAGGTAGATTATTAAAGATATTAAATACTTTATTTTTTATTTTTTGCGTAACCAATAAATTACGGTGATACATTGAAATGAAATGTCACATGACGTCACGCTTTTGTAGATTTTCTACAAAATTGACGTAGCGAGTCCCCACTCCCCAACTTTAATGCCTATAACCTAAGCTATTTCTTGTTTAAATTGAAGCAAAAACAATACGTAACAAATGTTTTTATATTATCTGAGTGACGGATGAAAATAATTTTTGATCTAAAAACCAAAACTAATGGCAGTGATTCCAAACCTAGGGGTAAATCATAAAAAGGTTAGGATCTACTGATATAAAATTTAAAAAAATGCAAAAAACATATATATACTCTGACCACTTTACAGGAAAATCTGTAAGTAGTATAGAAACTTTAGTGTGCAAGACCGATTTGGTCATTTTTACATGCAAGTATTTTTTTATTAGAATATTTTTATTTCATAGAATTCTATGTGTTTTTCTCTCATTCTTCCAGATGGATAATGTATAGTAGTATAAGAAGTCTTCCTGTGAAAATATTCTCAGTTCCCCTGAAATGGGTGACGAAACATCGGCCGGAAAATTTAGATTTTTATCTACAAATTCTGAGGGAATGTAAGTCTTTGATTATATATAGCAGAAAGAACAGCTCAAAGCTTTATTTTCCATAATTCACTATCTAATTACATTCAATAATGAATTACAACTTAATCACTTGTGCTAAGAAAAGTAATTAAATAGTGAAAAAAAAAAGTTTAAACGATACACCGGCCACATAAGGTCCCTTTACGCAAACGCTACTCTTTTGGCGACTTCTTAATTTAACCAGGTTGTATGATGATGATACCCAGTAATGTATGAGTAGGTAAGTAAGAATTAAACAATAAAGGTTTAGTTTTGGTTTTATGGTTACGGTATGCAGAGCTTATTTGCATGTATGCTCTGCACGCCACTGATTGTTGTGACTATTTTCATTGAAAATTGCGGACGAAGTGACCAACATATGAGCTAATATTCTTTACCGTAATATATTTTGAATATAATTAATCGTAATGAACACAATATTAAATATTTCCTGTATTTAGTTTTAAGTTCGGGTTGAGCCCACATTATATATGTAGTCTGTTTCACTTAGCATGGGTACGGTGACAAATGTATTTCACGCAATTTGTATTTTCAAATTATTTAAAACCATCGTTATACAAATAGTTTGACTGTGTATATATCAGATATTTATTTAAAAGACATAGTCGGAATTCATGTGCGTTGACTTACTATGGGTTATATCAAACCTGATAAGTATGTCTGCGATATAACAAATTATATATCTGAAAAACAAGCTAAAGCCACTATGATAATGATATAAGAATGAATACTTCAACATTTCTATTATCTAGATATTTTAATAAGTAGAAGTACTTAAAAATACGTCTAGGTGTTACATTATATTATATATATAAAATACACTAAATGTGGCAAAAAAAATACTCTCAAATGTACGACACAAGTTAAACCCGAAAATTAAAACAAACTAACAAAGAGTAAAGCAAATTATGTACCCATAAAAAATATCTAATCTTCTTGCAAAATGCGAACTCAACAAATGTAATTTTTCTAGACTTGCAACGAATAGTATATTCGGCCATATACCGAATATTCGGCGAGCTTCCTGGCCGAATAGCCAAATATTAGGCATAAGTATTCGGCCGGTATGTGGCGCCAAAACTTGTATCAACGTAATTGTTTCGCGCTCATTTGTTGTAATGTATTCACCACCCTCTCACCCCGAGCCGTCCGTGCACTGCGTGTTTTAACAAGTTTAGTTCGTGCATATCATAAATATGTTAAGTACAGTGCAGTTTATAGTTCACTCTGCGTTTTGATTTGTTTGTAAGTGAAATAGTAGTGAAAGATTAAAATAAACAATAAAATAATGATCTACCTACTTTTGTTATAATAATAATAAATAAGAATAATATTCGATTATGGCCTTTAAAGAGAAATCGCTTATAAGTATAGACATACTTCGAGTCTACTTTACTGATGATAATGACCTGAAAAGTGTCGCGATATATAGTCTAAAGATGAGTTGTGAAGGAAACAGCGACGATAGCGCGAATTTGTTCCCTAATTTGGCTAAGAAGATGAAAACTGAAGGGCGAAGTCTAAGTCACACTATTCTCTCAATTTTTATGGATGGTTTCGAAGAAGTGATAGCAGAAAAACAGCTCTTAGAGACACATCAATGGAAAAAAATGTAGTTGCGTCAGAAATAAATCTTTTTAAACTATTAATAACATATCAAGGCATGACAATCTGATATGTGGTGGCGAACGAAAAAACAAAAATTTCATTTTTGATCAAGATTGCAGTAAAATATTTATCGACGCCAGGAAGTTGTGTTTATTCAGAGCGTCTTTTCTCTGAAGCTGGGCTAGTCTACGAGAAAAAAGAAGTAAACTTCTTCCTGAAAACGCAGAAAAAAATATAATATGTTTACACCATAACCTTCCGCTTTTAAACTTTGATTACGACAAAAATTCAAGTGCATAAAAAATCATAATATTTTGTAACGCAGAAGATGATTGTGTACTATCTGTTCTGGACTTTCATGATTATAATAAATATTAAAATAATATTATTTTAAAATAAATCAATAATTTCTTTTATTTTACGAATTATCTCATTACAACAAATTATAATTGTTAGGTAATTAAGTATTCGGTATTCGGCCGAATATAACAAAAGCAGCCGAATAGGCCGAATACCGAATACTAACCGAATATTCGTTGCAAGTCTACTTTTTACATAAAATTATTTATTAATTTGCATATTAAAACATTAATATTTTTTAATATCCATAATTACTGAAATAACCCACCAAAGTTTAAAACATCAATACTTGTTTAAAAATGGAACGTTTTTTAAAAAGGATTGAATCAATTAGTCCAACTATTTTCTATTATAATAATTTTTAAGCATTCGGAAATAACAATCGCGTGAAATATATTTGTAAAGAAACATCACCGTACTCATGATATGTGAAACGGACTATAGTAATGCTTATGACTTTTAGTGTCTGCGAGTAGTTGTGAAACGGCCAGCGGCAGTACAGTTCGCGTGTACATCGCCACGCTGCTTACTGAACTACTAAACTGCGCGGAGATCGACGCCACGTGTATAGAGCGGCAACTTCTGCCCGCAGTCATGGCGTTACTACACGACGATCAATTGTAATAATATAATATTTACTACACTAAAATTATTAGCAGGAAATAGTTTTTTATTTGTAATGGATAGATTGAAAAACTACTTCAACGATTTTAAAAATTCTTTCACTAATTTATAGATGTTTTTTCAGCGAGTTAGTATACTTTTATAAAAGTGAAAAATATATTTTATGATTTATAAAGCAGTACAAAGTTTGAAAGGTGAAAGGAAAAAAATTGTGACAAATATAAATATATCTATGAAAATGAAGCACTTAAATAATTAAATCTAGTAACTATAAAATTATTCGTACAAATAAATCAAAATTATATTGATTGATATTACATTAGGCATGTACGCCTTTCAGCAGAAATTGCACTTATCAATATGCCAATTTATTTGCACTTAGGATTTTGAACAGTAACATCAATGATTTAAGATTAAAAAACATATAGAGTAAAATAATAGCGTCTTGATCAATTTAAAAAAAAGTGTGAAATGTAATTGTAGTATAATTAGAAAATTAAAAACCTCTAATGTGTATTATCCGAAAAACTTTAGCGCTAAAACGGTGCTGTCATTGATGTGTGCGCGTGACGTCACATATCATGATGGTTGCCTTATCAGATAGACAAAATTACCGAATATACCCTGGTGAAAGAATTTACTGAAGTTTATCATTATAAAACAAAACATACACCTTAAGAGACAGTAATAAACCTCAAATTTTGTGAAGATCATGAAATTGACAGCGAGTTGTGATGTCACATATCATGAGCATTGTTTCGGATTACGTGATTTTGATATAATAATATTCTTTCTTTTGAATTTCTTTTGAAAGTAGGCAAACCGTCATATCATTTTGTTACTACAGTCTAAGACACTTGTAAAGGGTTAAGAATAGTATCATATTGAGCTGAACCACTATTTTTCATAATAGCTGCTTATATCTCTTATTTACACGCAGGTCGGTACGGGAAGTGGCTATAACAACTTGGGGTGCAGTAACAAGAAGCTGTATCATTCGGGGATTGGAATGTGAAGCTCAATGCTGGCCACCCGTTGAGGATCTGCTCGCCTCTCGTCCGCTCGCCGGCAAGGAAGCCGTCAGGGCGGCTGAATCTCTAGCGCTTCTAGTACTACCCACACCTGATAACCATGCCGTCTCAGAGAAAGGTCAGCACAAATCAAGTACCGCAGGGTTCAATTATGGGACCTTCATTATTTATATTGTTTTCCGTAATAAACAAACACTATAACTTATATAAATTTTGTCTGCCAATTTATTCGACCATGAATTTTTGAATAAATTAATAGAAATTATAACTATATTTGTATATGTTGTACGTAGGAAATATTTATTAATTTGCTTCAATAATTAATTATTAAAGATGATGATTATAGAATAAAATAATGAACATAATATTATAAATAGAGATGCATTAATAGTGGTTTCACCGTATAACTGAATACCGAATAGTATTCGGTTTAATTTTTACTGAACCAAATATTCGGCCTAATTATTCCGTTTACCATTTAATGATTTTTTTAGTTAGTGTTTCTTGTAATATATCGAACAATACTTTCGGAAGCAGGGAACCTATATGAAGAATAAATGGTGAAGTTTCAAATTAAAAAAAAAAATCATGCTTTTAAGTGATATTGATATTTTTTATATAATAAATAACACTCAAAATATTTATAAAAAAATATACTAACAAAGTGAAAGTCTCAGGAAAGAAGACTGTTTATTTGTTCGACATAGTTTTTTTCCAATAAATACTCATATTATAAAGAGGAAAGATTTGATTGCTTGATTCTTTCGGGTGAATAGGCTCCTAAACTATTGAACCTAGTATAAAATTCTTTCACCTACGGGAAGCTACATAATACGCGGAGGACATAGGCTATAATTTACGCAGGCAAAGTCGCGGGGAAACAGCTAGTTGGATAAAAATTGGTTCACAATTCTATAAGAAACCGATGAATATACCTACTTACATAAAAAATACTAATGCCCATTGAACATAGAAAATCCTCCTTTCGATTTTTTTATGAATGCAAAATACGCAATCTTTTGATTTTGCGCTGTTATAAAGTTATCATCAAACTATTTAGGTGTCAAAGAAAAAGTACTGATTCAAATTTAAAAGTAAAAAATTATACATAAAGAAAAATTTAAATTTATATGGGGCTAACTTAATCCATCAAGCTGTTGAATAAAAGAAATTTGAAAATTGGTCAACATTTCGCGGAAAAACCGGTGAACATATATAAAAAATATATATCGTCTTCGAACATATAATCCTCCTTTTCGATTTTGAAGTTGGTTAAAAACTAACAGACTCGTCGTAGAGAGCCGAGAACTTGGTGTTTCTGCATAATAATTTAACGTTAATTAATTATAATTATTAAAATGTTTATATATTTATTTTTACTTATCTTTTATTTTACTTCTGTTCTCTATTTTATTTTTAAGCTACATTGCTTTCTTTTATTAAACACATTCTTCATAGGATTTCTCTTACTTATACGAGTATCGTTATATAATTCTTCGTTAAGATGTTTTTTCTTTTAGTTCTATACTGTGTAGCCGAGAAAATAGAAATACTCGAACCGTATATATTCGGCATCAAAACTGAATAAATCGGCTGAATATGAATAGTGAAAAAGATGCCGAATATGCAAAATACTGAAACCCAAACGAATATTCGGCGCATCTCTAATTATGAACAATATTCAGTCCTTACTTCTTTTATATCTACTCCTATTTAAATGTCACCGTATAATCTAACAAGACTATGGTGGCCAATATTCTATGATCCTGCACGTTTTCTTTAATATACATCTTACAAGTTTTATGGTGGCCAATATTCTATGACCCTGCACGTTTTCTTTAATATACATCTGATGATTTCATTGACTGACTATTTTCTTTATATTTTACGATTATATTAGTCCCGTCTCATGTATAAAACGAGTACTTACCATGCGGCGCTGGTATATATAATTTTTACATGACCTATAAAGTCTCCCATAGAGTTTGTTTTGATATTAGCAAATTTCTTTTTGTATTATAGCTGTATCACTGCTTTGTGAGTTGTGCCAGCGATGTGCATTGTCCAGTGAATGGTTGGCGGCTTTAACGCCGGGGCTACAACTGGCTGCCCATCACTGCCGACATCACCCGGCGTTACTTCCCGCACTCAGGTGACTACTATATTCATTCCACAATGGACATATTTTTTTATTATGTCAATTCTTTTGTATACCTTAAACTAAAAAAAAAAAACTAGTTTTAATTGTATTTGTTTTAATATTATTCCGTAGTCAAATTTAATCAACGAAATATAAATACATCCTCGTCATCATGATTATCGGCCCTTTTACGTCCCCACTGCAGGGGCTCAGGCCTTCCTTATGGATGGTTAAGGAGTATGGGTCATGACTGCAAATGTATCCGGGACCAAGGGCTTAACGTGCCTTCTGAAGCTCGACATAATAATATCTGGTCACCCATCCCGTGACCGACCCCTGCGAAAGTTGCTTAACAATAATGATCGCGGGCCGCGACGCTTATCCACTACGCTATGTATCCGCGTTACAAGAAACATGGTTGTGTGGGACTACTCGGATGAATAGTTCGATTTTTCAAGGCAACAAACCGTCACGGTATACCGTCATCTTGGAGATGACCGCCGGGAAGCCAAAATATTGACTTGTGACGCCATAATCTAGTAAACTTGAAGAATGGGAATGACATATAAATAAAGAGTTGCCAATTTCACCGCGTTATTTTAAAAGATAAAAATAACTAAATTTACTATTTATATTAGAAAATCTTTCTGTGATCAATTATGTCACAATTTGTGATTTTATGTTAATTCTCTTTACATCTCATAATATTTCGATTTAATATTTATGATCTGTAATTAAATATAAATAAGTAGAATAAATGTTATAATATAATCCAAACTATGCCTTCTCCATATTTTCTCGTTGAATCCACTTCAAGCTATTAAAAGGGTCACAAATATTCACTACGATCAATAAAAATGATACACTTCCGACTGTCTAGAGATGTTTACAATGTAAACTAAACCTTTTTTTAACAGAAAACTAGAAGAAGGTGTTCAGGCGCCAGCTCTATCACATTACAAAGGTGCTATTGAAGCGTTGATACATAACGTCGCAGGCCCTTCGTTAGAAACGATACGAGAGCCTCCCCGTCCGCCAACAAACCTTCAGGCCGCCCAAGAAGTTGGTAGAAGAGTTACACAAATGTTCCAACAATCGAAAAATAACATGAATCTACAGAGTATTTTCAAGAAGAAAACATAGAGTGTCTGACAATTAAGCTTAGTACTCCAAAACAAATTTTACATCAATGTGAAACATAAAAAAAAATTCAAGACCTCGTTTTAACAAATGTCTTCATATAAAAAAATAATTTTAAATTAAATTCACACCCAATTAATAAAAAATAATATATGAAACACGAATGTCAGCTGTAAGATAATAAACGTATTAAGGCATTCTCTATGTAAAAAAAAGTAGATAAATTCCTCGCTTCCATCTAAGATCAGATACGAAAATACCAAGCTAATGAAATTATTATGTCGTCCTAATTTTATTCATGTTATCTGTCTATTACCCTAACACGCTTCGAAGGACCATATTATGCAGGTGTATATAAATTAACTAAAAGCACAAAAAACCTGTGTTATAATAGGGTATTTGACACTTTCTGGAAACTTTTTTAAATGGTTATTTGATACATCATATACACACTGTCAATATATTTCATGAGAATCTGTTTTTTTTCCATGAAAATAATTGTTAAAGTTTAAATAGCCAAAATCGTACAAAAAACGCTTTTCCGTGTAATGGCGCTGATCTTGCGGTATTTGTGACGTCACATGCCGGTAAAATGTCAAGGCAAAAAACCCATTTATCAACTATTTATTACAGAAGAGAAATTGAAATTACATTTTAAGTTTTGTATTTGTATCTACTCTGGCTTTGTTCATAAATTGTATGTAAAAATACAAGTTTTGCATGACAGCTTTCTGTTTACGTGTGACGTCACATGCCGGTAAACAGAACCTGTTAATGGTTGCGACGACAACCCACTACAGGGTGTTTTCGTCCTTCAATAAACTCCATAAAATGTTGCATTTTCTTTACGTTATTTTACTACAGCTAAACATATTTTGTCTGCAGATTCTAAGAAATAAATTTTATTAGATTATTAACTAACAGGATGACCATAATACGCAACTTATTTTTAATAGTGTCAAATACCCTATTGACTACAGTTAGGTCATTATAAAAAGTCACATTTGCCATCTGAACTTACTTCGGGAGATTGATTTATTAAATTACTAGCTTAACGCCAGCGGCTTCGACGGAGTGGTCCGTAGGAAACTATTTTGTGAGATACAAAGTATCCCATTATCTAAGTCGGCCAATACCCCATCTGTATGCCAAATTTCATCAAAATCCGTCAGTAGTTTCGGTGCGATTGACGGAAAAACGTCCAAACAAAGAAACTTTCACATTTATAATATTAATAGGATATATAGAAGAATGAAAGAGTGGAAATAAATTCAAAATGCCTTTGTTTCTCATTATCCATGGCATATAGATATGAGCAAAGGATGTCGATTTACGCGTCAAAAACTGCTTGATGAATTACTTGCAAAATTCATTTATCGACCATTGTTAACTGCTGCATGCATTGGCCACAAAGTGAGATACTTGGTTATCAATTTTCTCAATAAAAAATAATTACAATAAGAAATGGAGTAAATTGAGAATTTTAGAGGTAACTTTGTTATTTGTTTGTATAGAGAAAATTTTATATGTTCACGTTTTGGATTTGGCAGATTAGAATATGATATTATTTTATTATTTTTAATGGTACAAAATTAATTGAAAATTAGTGGCCTTTGGTGTATGCCCGTTGAACACTGTTACCAAGTTAATTGTATATTATTTGAGTTCAAAACAATATATAGAATGAAATTGTGTATAATTTAAACATTACCTATTTAAAACAATATTTTAGTGATTACAATTCCAATGTGGTAATTTATGTTTTCATAAACATCTATCAAATCAACTTTCGAGTAGACTAAACAATCCTTCCGATTTTTTGAATGCGTCCCTACTGTTTACAAATGCAACGGGTCCATAGGCATAACATTGTAGCGGTGTTTAGTTTGTATAGAATGGAATAGATTTATTACATTAAAAGGTTTATTAGTCAATGTAAAACGTAAAACTTTTAGTTTTATATTACGACAATAAATATATTTTATTAACAAAGAAATTTGCAATTGCCGAAACTTTGAAACAATTAAAAATAATATGCTTACTACATTACAAGATTACTTTGAAGTTCTGACAGAGATGTAAAATGTAGCCTATTATAATGACCCAACTGTAAGTTTTGTTGAAACTGTCACAAGAGAAGTAATTAAATTTTATATATAACTATTACAAGTTAAAAAATATATATCAATAAGCAAACAACATATTATGAATTATGCTTTTAAATTAGTACGAGTATAATAATAACTAATGGATTAACTAATGACAAATATATAGAATAATTTTATTTAATGACAAATTTATTCAACCTGCACTTATGTGGTATTAAAGTATTATTTATCACGCCCTAAGGCTGTACATGTATCCTTTTTTTTAACAATAAAAATGTAGAATAATATTATGTCTGCATATTATGGATATGGATGAGTACACCATATTTTCATAAGTCACTTTACACTCACTTATTATAATGACTTTAATCTTGTTTTTATATTTTATACTTTGTTCATATTTTTTCATAAAACTGAGATTTCTTTTTGTAATTTAATAATATAGTGTCTTATGAATTTAGATAATAAGTGGCGTTGCTGAATAATTGAACATTCCTAGTATTTTAAGTGTTATGTTTAATGTACTTAATTTAGAATTAACAGTAGATCAGTACAAAGATAAATTAAAAATAGTAGTGCAATATAATACCTCGGCACCATACGTTAGCCCCATTGTTGGTACAAAATCGGTATTTTTAATTCATCAGTCTTCTTTTTTCAATAAATTGACATAGAATGGAAAAGTCACGATATGGCAATTATATTTTCAAGTAGCCTATCTTGTACTTTGTTTTAACAGTATGGGGCAGATGTTTGAAGCCGATCATACGATAATCAATTAATAATATTAATGTTTATAAAACAAGACAAATCTATCCCTGCTTGTAACCACCATTAAACCGGATTATGAAAATTATTACTTCATGTTACTCTAGGTGCTTCCACAGAATAACTATAGTAGTATTGTATGTTTTATGTTTCGAAATACTTATGTTTTATATATATATAAGAACATGAAAACATGACCAAATGAAAATTAAAACTGTTATGTACCTATTTTTATTAAATATGGGTACATTAATATTATTGTTAAATTAATTTGAGAGCTTTATGTACTTAACAATGTGTATTTGAATCTCTTAAAAATAATGATTATATTAATCATGATAAAAAATATATTAATGTTAACATAATTTTTGTCCAATGTAAGAATATTTAAAAAATATCTGCAAAGGAAAATTTGTTAAAGACATAAAGTCAAATTTAAAAATTACAAAGACTTCAAATATTTATTATATTCTATTTTGAGTGTGATTTCTCGTGCATGGTATCTAAACTCAAAAACTAAAAGTAGGTGGCGCTAGTTATGTTGATGGTCATGTCATCTGTATTTTAGTTCATTTCTTTGATTAAATAATTTACTATATAAAAATGAATTAGTTAAATTTGTTTCGACGCTTAGTATATTTAAAATAATAAACATCTTACCTTTGTACCCAACATGTCTTTTTTCCCGATCTATTTTTGCAGATCTTTTTCTCAACTTGTTTTCAATTATTTAACGATATAACAACCATATTTTTCACCGAAATTTCGCGATGTAAACATACATTATGACTTACTAAATGGTACCAATTTGATATTTGACCACCAATCACACAAGCGCTCCCTGGCTGAAGTAATTTTCTAAGACATCGCTACATTTCCGTCCGTTCTTTTATTGGGCAAAATGCAACAGAATATGAGCGTTAACCCAATCGTATTGAGAACGCATTTGAGCAGTTACGTATTGATAAATCGAATTAGGGGTGAGAACGCTCTTAGATTAGTTGAGATTACCGTTATGAAATAGATATTTATTGTTCCAGTGAAGAAGTATTTAAAAAAAGAAACATTTTTGTTAATGATAGAAGCATTTTTGTCAGGAAACGATGACGTCACACATGTGCTATGTTTCTTTTAATATTCCCTTTAAAAAAAATCGAAACGTGCATATTAAATGACTTATTAATTAATTTTGAAAATGCAAATTACTTAAAACATCAGTATCAAAATACAAAGCGACATATATGTAGTTTAAAACTTTTTTAAATATCTACAAAGTATATTTAAATGGCTTTTGCATTATAAAAGAGAAAAAAATGTAATGTTTAATAATTTAGATTGCACAGGTGGCATTTTTAGGCGGACTAATAGTCCGGCTAAATGAGCCTAAATAGACTTAAATATCAGAATGACAGATATAAACAGTCATGTAAATATGAATCCAGTATTCATTAATTATTTTATATTATCTCAAGACATTAATAGATAACTTTTTATATTTGTACAAAGTTTCCTGATCGTAATGTCACCTCACAACATGATTATAGATCCACCACACCTACCACGCACGTGATTATGCATTATAATAAGCTGGAAACTTATGAAACGGAAAAACATGTTCATTTTAACACTCTTAACTAAATAGTGTCTTAAAATCTCGTTAATGCGTCAATTTAAGGACAAATTTTAAGAGATTCATTGTGTAAAAATATTTGTTGTCCACTTGAAAAAAGGTATGTACGTGACACAATATCTTTTTTATTTTCAACATAAAATAATCTTTATAAACCATTGATCCATATATATAGTTGTTTTAGCACTTAAAAAAATTATATCAACTTATTCCATTTTTTCACTTGCTTTCCTATCCATATTATTTATTGGTTGTGTTGCGTAGACTATTTATGAATTAAAAATTTATTTTATAGTATGTAATTTTCTTCAAATCCTTTTTAGAATAAAAATAAATGTAAAAAAAAATTAAACAAAAATATCCAGTTACACAACGTACTCCATATGCCTAGGTATAAGAAGCAATATTTTACATTACGTCACTTAAAGGACATGTAAGGGATTTTATTTTAGTAACAGGGATGATGATTAATTTTTGTTTGTCTGTCTGTCAGGTAGATTATTAAAAAATATTAAACATTTTTTTTTGCGTAATTATTAAATTACGGCGATACATTGAGTTGAAACTTCGCATGACGTCACACCTTTGTACATAGTTATCAAGTAACGAACCCCCACTCATTGACTTTAATGCCTATTATCAAACTAAAACACTCATCTAATGGTATAGTGGAGTAAATATGTTTAATAGTATAGGGTGGAGTCAATGTGTAGTAGTACGACCCGGACCTCAGCTCTTGGAGCCCATTTGGAGGCCAAATGTGCTGCAGCCATTCACCGAAATCATAATAATATAATAAAGACAAAGTATATGCGCGAGGGGGTAATTCATTCATGTGTCCGAATTCACATCATTTAATGAAGAAATTGTATTGTTTCCTTTTTTTGTATAAAAATACAAGACAAAATTTGATTAATTATACGCATCTCACATATTCTATTCCTATGTCATTTCGAAACTCACTTCACGTATGCCTCGTAACGTTGTTATCAATTCAAAATTGAGCCGATGCCGCTTTTTTAAATTA